CAGGACACAGCCTACATTACTTTCCCATTAATTACAATGATGCACCATCATTTACTACGTCTACAATAAATGATTAGTTAATACAACTGTATTACTTCAGTACTGTGTCAGTAAATGTCTAGGTTGAGTAGACACGCCAATGGACAAGAACAGCTTGTGTCAGTGAGATTAATTTATTCAGTGATGTATATTTCTTCTCCACTACTTGTCTTCAACAATGAATGTTTGTCTACTTTCTATCTTCAACACTTAAAGTTTCTTGCCTTCAACAAGGAATGTTCCCATTGGTTGCTTTGAGTACTGAAAGTTTCTTGCCTTCAACAATGAATGTTTCTTGCCTTTAACATTGAATGTTTCCATTGGCTGCTTTCAATACTGAATGTTTCTTGCCTTCAACACTGAATGTCGCTCTGCTTTTTGTCTTCAATGGTAAATTGTTCTCTATTTCTTTGCTTGAAAAATAAATATTTATCTCTATCTTTGCTTCAACAATAAACATTTCTCTATGTCTTTGCTTCAACAATAAATATTTATCTCTGTCTTTGCTTCAACAATAAACGTTTCTCTACTTCTTTGCCTGAACAATGAGTTTATTCCTTTCCTCAACAAAGAACACTTAATCTCCTTCTTGTTTTCCTAGACATAAAATTCCACAAAAGAAAGCGTGTACACAAATATAAATGATCAGACAACTCTGATCAACTAAATAAACGGATGCTGCCACACTGATTAACGCTTCTTGTTGCTTCCTGCAGACGACAAACGGGAGGAACATCTAGAAAAGGGTACTCTTTCTTCTTCATCCTATTAAAATTAGAAACAGAGGAAAACCAATCAGTAAGGGATCAGATAATATTTCAACAATCTAAACCGTACAAATATCAGCGTAGCCTTTATAAATGGACACAAACCCCAGTAATATCAACCGTAAGTATGGCATTCATAAACCACACACCAAAACAATGACTTAAATTAACAGTAAACTAGCTAGGTTGCCCCAGACTAACTTGCAGGTCGACCCAGCATAAAACGGGTACCCAGAATGTTCTCAGAAGGCAACCACATCACGTGTTCAGTTCCAATTGGTCACTATAAATAATAAGGGCTAGCACTGATGCACCAGTAGTGTGTAAAAGGCCCTGCAGTCAAATATATAGTCAGTAGTCTCTTCTATTTGGTAGTCCTTGGAACAAAGTTGAGGCAGTCAATGATATCATTTATTTAACAAACACACGCACAGAAAATAAACTCAACTGTAGGATGCTAGATTTTTTTTCTGACGAATTATAATATGTACTTTATTATGACTATTTAAAATGTATGGAGTCTGCGGCAGAGCTTTGAGATTAAGACAGATCTACTGGTCTTAGCTAACTGGGAACCAATGCCTTACATCAACAGTAGACTAGGCTAGTAATTGCTCGCAGGCCGACCCAGCCTAAAATAATCACCCAGAAATGCTATGAAAGAGCAGCCAGCAACCTCACCTGTTAAGTTCTAACAGGTTCGTAAAAATATGGGCCAGCTCTGAAGCACCAACAGTGAAAAGTCCTATAAAGTACAGGATTTGTTGGTGTATAAAACAGTTTTTCGTATTCAAAATAGACATTAAAATTAGGCTACATCTTATACAACGAAGGCAGGTCTACATACAACATTTTTTCATTGTAAGCTGCATTCCTACACCGTGAATTTTAAACTCGAGACGATAAATATTTTGAAGAACATGGCAACAGTTTTCAGCAGAACATCCTTTCAAACCTACATCGATACACACAAAAAAACCTATAAGGCTTTAGCAGTCTTAGCAAGAGATATTTTGTGCAAAATTAACAAAGGAAAGCATGCACAAAGTGGAAAAAGTAAAAACTGACTGGAGACATGTATCGATATGGGTGCAAGAATAAAATCTGAGTCGTTTTCTGGGAAATTTCTTTCAATGTTTGAGGTGCGTCTTATACAAGGAAGTATATGGTTTTAATAAAAAATAAATAGCAAGTTCACTGAATAACTGATATTCTTCTGTGGCATTTATTAAAGCTTTTAAGACACCATACATTTATGATCATTTGATTTATATGGGTAATGTAGTCCTAATACAAAATAAAATAATAGATGGATGTCTGCATTACAACAAACAGATAACACTGGACATGAATATAAATAAAGCTGAGTAAACATATACTGTAATGATATTTACAAGGGGAAAAAAAACAGAGATGGAATTTAAGAACATAACTTTTATAGGAAAGAAGTCTAAAATGAAATGTCAGGAATTTTAATCTTCAGTCTAAAACTAAAACACACATTCATAAACTTATCAGCCTATAATACCCTCTTTTTAATCAAACAAGTACAAAGCACCCCATTCAGAATCAACATCTGTAAAAGAATAAGCGGAAGACAGTGAAGGATATTAAAAGAAGAAAAAAAAGATTAACATTTAAAGAAATATTAAATAAAAGGATGAACCTGATAATGAAACAAGTATAAATACTTTCTCAAAATTCTGTTTTTTGTTTTTATTTAAAAAAATGCCTCGCCTCATGTTTATTTTAATGGCACCAATGCGCCAGAGGTTACTATAGCCAATTGTCGACATTCTACAATAAATCCATACCAATGAGGCATGAAGGGAATTTACCAAGTGTCAAAAACTCAAAGCAATCAAGTTAACATGGAATAATTTGGTTTTCTAACCTCCTACAACAGGGTTGTGATGGGAAGTCACTTACTCTGAAGGCCATGAGTTCGTTTCACAAGTACAACGTTCGGGTCACCAGTGCAATTATTATGAAGATAACTGGGGACTGCAGCGGAGCTCAAGAACTGTGCTTTGTGCAGTGCTCTCAAGCTAGCTGTTTTGCAGAGAGTCTGAACCAAATGGGATCAAACCCAGTGCAATGAAAGTTGATTCCCAACTTTTAACCTGACAGGCATTTATCGCATCTGTTCTTTATCTGATAAAATTGTGTTTGCTCTATTTAAGTGATCCATCTTCTATCTGCTACCTCCATGCTTAGACATTTGCAATTTTGTGTTTGGTCCAAATTTTAACTTTACTTGTTCATTTTGGAATGGTTTGCTTCTGTGATGCAACTTACTGCCAATATTTCTGTCATTCTATTATTTAAGAAATACATGTGTAGACTGTTTACTACAATACAGTGTACCAATTCTTATTTTAAATGTGAAGCATGCACATATAATAATTAATGTATATGTATACAACAATTATACTGCCGAATATATGTTAACAAATATTACCCATATAAAACCTATAATCATGCAGGTGATATATATATATATATATATATATATATATATATATATATATATATATATATATATATATATATATATATAAATAAACATCTTCCTTCCTTTGTTTTCACCAAGCAAACAGCTACACAATATACCAACACTAGCAGAAGATTTACAGCTAGCAGGGCTGTTCTAGCATACAATACCTGTCACAGGGAGAAATTACACTTATTTATCTGGTTTTAATAGACCAATTTGGTCGCTCAACCTTTTTTCCCTACATCACACTTAAAAAGACTAAAAAAGGCATCCTCAGGGGGAAAATTAACAGTGGCAATACACCAAAATGGCAATAGATTTGAGTCGTGCCGTTGACGACTAGAAGCCCGCCTGCAATTTGGACGGTCATGGGTTTGCGTCCTGACGAAGTTGGACTTTTTCTCTCTCCAAAAATGACCTTTACTCCCAGGTGGACCCAGTCTTGAGTGGGTAGCAGGTGCAGTCCCGGGAAGTAAAGACAGCCACATGATGCCGACAACATCACCCACCAAGTGCCGATTGCTCTATAGAAATATTGGTCTACCCCTATATTCCAATACGCCTAAGGGTGTGAACAAGGGACCTTTACTTCTAATATATTTAAGTAGCACCACATCTAACATATTTATATTAAAAATCAGCATTTTAAGATGATATTATGTGCATTTACAATATGAAGGCAGACTTTAAAAATAGTCCATTGTTAAAATAATCTTGTCAGCTAATTAAAGTACTGTTCACAAAATCTTGACACATAATTGATAAGTGTCTACAGTGAATCTGGAGTGACACAGCCCACATAATTCATTCTGTGTCGACTGGTCTATATCGTGTTTATTCTACCACCATATACTTAACATGGTGATGGCATGAAACTTACAGTGCACTGGAAAATGTGTACAGTTGTGCAGAAGATGAAAGGCTAGGAGATTCTCTAGTAGAGCTGATAAAGAATTCTTCGTGTGTGTGTGCGTGTGCGAGCACACACACCTGTCTTTACTGCTAATAATATGTCTTTGAAGGGCAAGGGGTGTAGTAATTGAATTTAAGGATTTAGGGCTGCACAGCTGATACAGTTGCCCCGAACTAGATAGATAGTGATTTCTATTTGCTCCGGACAGAAAATATTACCATCACCCAATTGAGGATTTTAACCGCGGTCTCCAACATAAGAGCCCGGCACCCTTACCACTCTAGCAGCACAGGTACCCTTGATGTGTGTGTGTGATGGTAGTGTAGCAGTTAATACCTGTCTGCCAACGAGGGGGCATATAAAGCCACATTTGTATTACTGACCCAGGGTTGGTCAAGACCAGCTCCAGCTGACAGGCCATGCTTATGATAAGCTAACGCAGCGTGCAAGTTGCCCTTTACTTGTTTTTAAATATATTTTTTAAAAATTAAATTAAAAATGTACATTTAGATTCTATGCCTGACTTATTTATTGTTTACATGTACTAACCAAAAATCATGAAATAAATTGATGTGCTCATGAATAACCAATTTTCATAGCGTTATTCAAATTAACAAACTACAATATGATAAATATGCTTCAGTTAAATATTCTTTCTGTCATGATGCATAGAAATAAATGTCACAGACAACCCACACAGTTTCTGGGTGGACACAGAGATAATGAAGGGAGCATGCACATACCACATTTACAACGCCAAATTTTGGGGGGAGGAGTACCACACTCAGACCTTGTCATCTTCACTCTCATCATCGCTGATCACCGGGTGCCTCAGCTTGGCTGCTGATCGCCGTTTGACATTTTTACGTGTCTTCTCAGGCTGGTGACAAGATGAAAACTGTTAAGCACTTGACAATACAACACAATTTTTCTTCTCCTTAACAGACACCAGGGTTTTGCCTTTCTATCTACAATCTTTCTCTCATTCCTTTGACCCTTCCATAACCAGATGGGACCCCTTTTGAAACCAGACAAAGGACTGGTTATGTAACAGTATTTTGTTAAGTCATCACTACTTGTAATTAGCATTTATGCTTTTGATTATGCAATGATTTTGATCCGTTTTACAGATCTGGATTATTAGTAGGCAAACTGTTGGTTCCTGGCTTCTCAGGCAGGCTTATGCCGACTTAAAAAGAAGTGCCCCTAATTACACGACTTTATAACATGCTTGTTAAGAGGCAGCGGGTCTACTCTATTTGTTATATGTGGAAATCTGGGTGTTCATAACAATGGAGCCTTTAACAAGAATATCTCTGTCAAATCTTGGACTAAAAACCATGCTTTCCATAATTCAATTATGCAAATCATTAAAAAAATATTTTTAACAACTTTTAAATAAAAAGGGTACTGAAGACATCTTGAAAGAAACTGACTCACAAAGTGAACTTATTGCCCAAATCAGAAAGAGAAAATCTACCTTCTTTGGTCATGTGATGAGAAGGAGAACCCTGCAGTACACCATGACAGTAGGAAAGTTGGAAGGGGGAAGAGGCAGAAGGAGACCGCGAGAACAGATGCTGGACAGTCTGACATCATGGTATGTAGGATCATCTGTATCCGATCCGACTGAAAGTACACGAGACAGAAGGTTGTGGATAGACACACGGCATGGACTTTGAGAAGAAGAAGAAATCTTTCAAACAGAGATGTGCCCACAATATAAGATGTAGGTTCTTCTTCTTCAACATCACTCACCCAATGAGGTAATTGTGCCTTATTTACAGCACAGCTGCAATATTTGCGGCTTTCGGCAGACACATCCAACTTCTTCCGGCATTTGTTTTCTGAATGAGGCTTCCCTTGTTTCTTCCTCTTCGTTCACCCTTACAAGAACAGTTGGCCTGTTGGTTGTGGTTTACAGCTAGGCTGTGATACCTGTAGCTTCTGTTTCAGAAAACTCCGTCACTTTTGTTAAGGGGTCAGCTGGTCTCACCCTATGGAAAGAGCTGTAATTTGTCAATGTCCAACCCATGTTTTTTCCTAGTGATGTATAGCCAAAATGTGGATCAGTTATTGCTTATTAGCCATGCATTAACGTATCAGCAAACTTTTAAAAAAAAAAAAAAAATAATGAAGAAAAATGCAGTGTCAGTTGTTGATGGTAAATAATGGGTATAGTAAAATTAAATCTTGCTGGCTTACCTCTTTGTGAACTTTCTTTCCACTATTTCCACCTCTTTCATCTCTTTTCTTCCGTGTTCTTACTGCTTGGCCTGAAATGTTTACACTCACATTTAGATTTGTGCATTAAAAAAACAAAACTACGTTATCAGGAACTTTAAAGCTCTACAATTATCTATAAACTTCAAAGCAATGTGCAAGTCACAAAAATAGTGAATTTGCTTCACACTGACAATTTTGGGAAAAGTTCACTTTTACACACCTCAGTATGTTTTCTGTCAGGATGGGAATGCCCCGAGTGCTGTGATGTCAATTCTTGACTCAACACAACTTAACTCTTCTGTCAGACTCTGTTGTTTTTGTCTTTTTTTTATTTTGTTTTAAATGCATTATCCATATTATATTGAACTAACCATTGGTTAACAATTTGTGTTTTTTTTAAATCCTTATAAAATTAACATTTTTTTAAACCCTAGCAATATTACTTGCACAAAGAGATAACTGTATGTAACATATACTGTTGAAATCACTATATCTACCCAGCGATGAAAGAAGCAGGTGACATCTGCAGTAGGGCTGTACCAAATATTCGCTTCGAATAAGCTCCAGGGCCGAATAGTGGACCTAAAACTATTCGGTATTGGGCCGAATACTTGCGGTCAGGCCGAATACGAACAGTGGTTACCTTACACATGTTTCTGCATACACCGCGATAGACTGAAATAACTCTCTCATTTAAAAAATAGTTGCTTTTGCCTATCGTAGCGGGGGAATGCTGAAAAAAGAAGATAATTTTAAGCATTTTCTGGGAAGGTGATGATGAAGGGAAATGGTCACCGAATCTCACGTTATAGCCCAGAATGTAAGAAAGCCTAATATTTATACACCCAGTGACAGTATCTGCTATAAGACCCCATTTACCTTCCTGTATGGGTTCCAGGGCCCATTATGGGAGAGAAAGAAATGGGGTGGGGGGTGTTTAACTAATAAGTTTTCTAAAACTGAATTTGTTGGGCCAAAAGCACAGATATGGCAGCCTAGCTATAAACCACAACTCAAGGTGCCAACCATCTGTTTGGGGACAAATGCAGGAGAAGAATCAGACACAAAAGTCTATAACAAGAATGTGATGTGGCAATCACTTTTTTGGGAGACCACATTATGAAAAGATGAAATGCTGGATGACATTGGACTGAATGAACGCTATATGAATACAATTCCCAGGAGACTGAAAGTTGTGCAGGAGCATAATCGCACGCACCAAATGGCAAAGGATAATAAGTTATATCTTTTTTAAAAGTTTGTGCTGCCTCCACATTGGAGGTTGACTGCAATATATCCACCACTAACTTTGAGAAGACTGGGCGGTGAGACCCCAATATCTTCCAGGGGGCCACTCTTGCACCACTGAGTGCAAACTACAAGCAGTTTTTTTCTAAACCACTCACCGTGGGAAACAAACCCTAGCAAACATTAAGACTTGCGCACTGTGAAACTGGACTCAAGGTTTCAGAATGATTGACTCAACTGTAGCTCAAACCCTTTAATACTGACTTTCCTAACATGTGGCCTGTGTCCCTTCCTGTTCTCAGTGTTTAAAAAAAAATTTATACAATTGTTCACTTACTGTCCTCATCATCCCCATCCTCTTCACTTTCCTCCTCTTTCTCTTCTTCCTCACTGTTGTTTTCACTCTCACTGGATGATTCATCTTGTTTCCCCTTAGCTATGTCCTTTTCTAGTTTTTCTTTGGCGTTCGTACACACAGACTGCAGGACTATAGAATCCTCGTATATCTGGAGAATTATTAGTATACGATTATTTATCTTTGTGCAAGATGAGAAATGTTTAATAAAACATGACCTTTAAAAAAGAAACAAACAAAAAAACTTAATATATTGTTTGGTAACTTTACCAGTCTAGACATGAAATCATAATCAACATGTCATTTGCAGAACATCACTCGTGTCATGTCATGTCATGAAAATCCGCTTGCTATACCTTTCATGCCGCATTAACTGTCAAGTTCTCAGCTGCCCTTGATATCCTGTGTCCATCCTCATGCTAGTCGGCCCTTGCCTCTCCTTCTCTGAACTACTAGTTTCATTACTTAATGCTCTCTCCAAACCATTTACTATGGCTAAATTATTTAAGTTTCTGACTGATGATATCTATGAGCTAGTCCCGCTCTATAATGATAGTGATGAAAAGACACCTTTCTCAAAAAAGCAAGCACACCTAAAAGTGAATTATACAGTACCTTTTCATAACAATTCAATACTTCATTAACACCAATATATGGACAACACATTAATTAAAACATTCTGGTAAAGAACAGAATAATGGAGAAACACTCCCTCCCAGATGACAAGGCACTCGATGATGATGTTTTTTCTTAGACTGCCAAACAACTGCCTAGACAAGACTCACAAAAGAGGAAAGTGGCGTTCTTGGGTCATGTTTAATGAGAAGCATTGGAGGAGAAGATGATTTGCAGACAGATCAGTGATAGACAAGTTAGAGCCAGGCTAAGTGAAATGCTGCAGTGTCTTAGACAATGAAGGATTTGTCAATACAATTTATTTTCTCTTCTTCTCATGCATTTCCTTTCAAATGCAAGTCAGCAGGTTTTTTTTTTATGACATGTCTTTTTGGCACTGGTCAATCTGCCTATATAGAACAGCTTTGGTACTGGTTACCATTGTACAGCGTGTAGGCATGGTAGGTATATTTACCCCTCCGAAAAAATTATGACATTATTTGTGATGAACAAAATGACTTCTTGGTCACTGTGACACAATAATAAACTGATCATATCAATCTGCTCTCTGTGACTGTGTCAACAAAACTCATTTTACTGATCAAGGGAGAGGAAAACAGTTATTTGTATTTAGCTAAAACTTCTCTTCTTAAAATAATTACATTTTATGCCCCAAAAAATGACCCTATATGAAAAATCCATCATTTTAATTGACTAAGGCGCATGATGATGCTACAGCCCTGCCTGTTTGCTCAGTGGTCACAGGTTTCATCCCCTCAGATTTTCATAAGAACTGACCAAGACTGCACATTTCTTCTGCTTATCCTTCTCTTCCTGTAGTTTCTAAGGCTAGTTTTAGAGAATTTAAAGAATGTGTTTCTTTTTGAACTTTTGAAAAAGAACTTTTTTTTTTAAATAGATTTTTACAGGACGTAAGGGTTAATGGACTAAAGCAGTGTGAAGTTCTTGCCTTAACTACCCCAATCTTTTGCTTGTTTGTAACTGACAGAAAATGTGTTACTACTAACAAAGAAGAAGAGAGCTGGAGAACGAGGTTAGAAAGATTGGGAGGACATGGGGAGAGCTCCATGCAATGGCGAAGGATAGAGCGACTTGGCGTGAGTTAGTTGAGGGCCTATGCTCCATTGGGGGATAGAAGGGCAGAAGAAGACTAACAAAGAAATAAATGTGAGACCTATACTAGACATATTCCCCCTTCCTCCTGTTAAGTAGCTGGCCACATTTAAATAGATAAAACACAATAGCCAAAATAACACCCCAAATAAATATTTAAAAAAAAAAAAAAAAAAAAACTTACAACTGAACCTTCCATGTTAAAACTCTGAGCGTTCTGACACAGCTCAATTATGTCAGACTCTAGTTCATCTAGCGTACGGTAGCGATGAGTTGATATTCGGGTCTGGAAAAAAGTTGCATCTTTATCAGTAATTAAATACAACAGAACAGGCATGATAGAAAGATAACAGTTGGAAAGCATATAACTAAATTTTAAAATTACAGACACCTGAAAAAAAAAAATTAGGAACCTTAATACATAAAAAAAATTTGCCGTGTGACTTCCAGGGCCCCTTTGTTAGGAGGAAGAAGAACAGACCGATTGCCTCCCTAACTTCTTCTTCGTGTTCACCAGCTGTTAACTCTGGCGGAAAGTTCTGGTTGTTCATCCACTTTCAGGACTGCAGTCCTGTTCCAGAACCTGAGTGTTGCGTGTGCATTCGTTTTACAGTTCTGACTCATTTGTATGCAGACTGCTGGTTACTTGCCTCTCAGGCAAAAGCACTATGACTTTGAATGAAACTCCCAATTAGTCGACTCTTGCGACAATCTTTTGGGTAGGCAGTGGTTCTATTCTTGTGTTCCCTATAATAGAGCCCCAGAACCCACACTGGCAGTCTCCCTAACAAGCAAGCCACAAAAGCTGACTGACTATGGATTTTCCCTCAAAAGTCGGAGCGCATATGCCTGAGAGGCTAGAAACCAACAGTCTGCATACAAGAAATGCCAGATTTGTAAAATGGATGTTCGCGCATAACCTTGGTTTTGGAACAAGGCTAAGGTCAAAAAGTGCGCAAACAAGCCAAACTTTCCCTCAGAGTTTACAGCCAGCTAACTCAAGAAGAAGGCAATATGTAACAAATATAAAACTAGCTAGCTAAATATTCACTTTTTTTAAGGCTTATTCAAACAAACACAAAGAGTTAAGTAGATATACCAAGGAGAATAGTTGATTTCCTGACTGACTTTACCCTTTGGGACTTTGAGGGTTTTACACCACAGCAACCTGGATGTCAATCTAATAGGAATAAATCTTAAGATACTCCATTCACTTATATGATTTTATATGGGTACCCTACAGCCACATCAAGTACCAACCATCTTGAAGTAGTACTCTGCTGTTTTATGTGGGTAGAGGATACTGCTGTCTTACTATCTGAACTGCTTTAATGGATCATCATTTATCAGGTCTTTTGCAGAATGTTGCTCTTATCTCAGTCTGCCTAAAAGAAACTTGGTCTCTTGGTTTTAGCTCTCCCACTTTCATATTTAAGGCCCCACTTATATCCTGTGCCTATCTTCATGCTGGTCGGCCCCTGCCCCTTCTTCCTGGTAGCATGCCTTCTGCTATTATTCTTTCCAATCCGCCATGGTGTTTGGCATGACCAAAATATGTCAGCTTCCAGGACACAATACTGTTTAGTAGCCAATCTTCTTTGATGTTCAGTCTTAAAATGTCAGTGTTCCTTCTTTTCTTTGTCCACAGTATTCTGATATCTTTCTAACGCATTTCAGCTCAAAAGCCCATACTTTCTTTTTTAAGGCCAATTTAACGAATAGGGAAGTGTTTAACTTGATCAGGCTGACACAAGCAAATACCAGCCAAAAATGTGTCTGCGAGAGTTATAGACACATACAGTATTTTCTGGGTGTATGAGAAATATTTTTTCACAAATGCAAAAAAATGTTTCACCTTGTTTATTCTTTGAGTACCAAGCAGCTTATGGTAAGTTCACTGGTTCATCCTTATATGATATATTTTTGTAAACTCTTTGTGTCTTACCCAGTTACAAATAAGCCCTACCCAACTTCACTTAAAATCATAAATAAAGTCTTAGTAAAAAGCAATGGCTCAGAACCGATACTGAAAAAGCATGACGGCAAATGAAATGGTTTGTCAACTTCAGCAAATGAGATGTGGTGCCATATCACACAGGATACATATAAAAAGAAAAGTGGGGTGCACAAACCAAAGAAGACAGAAACAAGGTGCAACAGACCATAGATTCTACAGCAGTATCAAGTGCCACTGATGAAGGTGGCCAGAAACGCTAAAACGAGAACATTGTATCTCCCATGACACCCAAAGCGGCAGTGATGGAAGGAAAGAACAACACTTATTACAATAATTTGATACATAATTATTATATGTGAACTTTAGACACAACCCTTATTTGTTCAAAACAACAAGTGTTTAGTAAAAAAAAAAAACTGATCAAAGTGAAACCATCAGGTAGTGAAAAAGTTCTTAAAAGCTCTTGGTGCTGTTCATATTCACTGTTACTTTTAATGAAAATAAGCACTGATGATTACTTTTATTGAAAATAAGCACTGATGAATAATCATACTCTTTCAACCTCTCAATTATTGGCTTCTGACAACATGGTTGTAAGATGGCAGATTTTAGGTGTATATTGTACTGTTTCATCAAATGTCAGCCACAGTGAAGTTAACTGTATTCCAGAAATTCCAAAAATAACAACTGAATATATGCTATACATTTACTGTTTTTACAAGGGAACATTGCTGTTTTTATCAAAATTATACATATATATATATATATATATATATATATATATATATATATATATATATATATATATATATATATATATATATAGAGAGAGAGAGAGAGAGAGAGAGAGAGAGCGAGCGAGGAGGGGGGGGGGGGGGGGGGGTTAAAAAGCCCTGGAAACTAGACACAATTTTACAAAGTGTAAAGGTTCAATGCAGACTCCTCAAAAATGAAACAGCTAGGGAAGATTTACTTGAACATATTTTTTTTTAAAGAAACCATGAGTTGACCTTTTGGCTTGGTAATATTGATATCCCAACCCTTCAGCCGTGATTCCATGATAGATACGTAAATTTGGAAGAAATGTGGCTTTTCTGCCTATCCCCAGACTTGAACCCGGACCACAATGAGTTTGTCACCCGACCGTAGCGCAGTCAGGTTTAACCAACTGAGCTAGCAAGCTGGGCTAAGAAGAACAACATGGATAAGTGAGAATAGCAGGCACTGTGTCGCTGTTTCATTTCTCTGAGCATCCAAGTTTATAATATAGCATTCCATACTAATCCATATATTTCACATTAAACTGGAATGTGCAAACATCTACTGATTAACAGGTGCTTCCAGCAAATTCATATCAACATGTCAGCATGTTGAAGCAAAGAAACATTCATCACAAAATACAGCATTATATATCTAAACACAGCAACACACCAACAGAAGCATCACAATCTAGAAAATATATATATCAACTATACCCTACAACAAGACTATTTAACTAGCGGCCTCAGGGCCAAATGTGGCCCGCTGAGGCCTAGCAAGTGGCCCACAGATCACCTGTCATTTCTATTGTATTAATGATCTTTCTATGCTTGGGCCACAGGCCCATGACAATGCCCCTTTTTCCCAACATGCTGGCCCCCGAGTAAACTTAGCTAAATGGCACTTCCCTACAAGATAGCTTTAACTCACTAACTACTGGATTTAAAAGCCTGCTGTGGCAGATTTAATCGACTCAAATTTTTTAAAATCAGACTTTAATCTCCGAATTTAGGTGTTGACTGCATGTCCTTTTTTAAGACATTGCAAACCAATCCAAACACTAACTGGTTCTTATCATCAATCATGCCACTGTAGGTTGCACACGGCTCACAGTCTAGTCTTCCGTTCCATGCTTTCAATATCACAGACAGAACCCAACCCAGCTGCGTTGGCCTCTCAACAATGTTCACCTCATTGTGTTTCTCAATTAATTTGTTCCACATTCCAGTGCCTGCTTGGTGATTCTCTGTCCAATTATCTTCAGGATGTGCCCAATACACTGTCATCTTCTCTGTTTTACAACTGATGATACCAGTGTTTTGTCCAGTCATTTCTTTGACTTCTTCACCTTTCTTGAATGTTTATCAGTTTCCTCTGGCATTTTACTGGTTTTTGTGTGGTTTAACAATCAATGTTCAGTAATTTGCCATCGTTAAAAATGAAAGTGAACTTTACATTTTTTTAAATTATTAATAACCTGTGACCCTGTGTTTTTTTCTTTCTGGAGAATGTCACTCCGCAAATTTCTACAGGCTCAGGACCTATTTTGTTTTTAGCATTCACAGGCAAAAGGGTTAAATATCACGAGGCAGATTCTGCTATTGGAATACCAAGTGTCTAGCCTTCACACATTCTATACTACAACATAAGAGGTGGGCTGGTCAGTTTCAGGATACTTGTCCTTCCCAGACAACACCTAGAGCAATCTGGAAACTATCTGGCACCCACATTTATAAGGCTGGCTATCCAGAGCCATCCATACTGGTTGGAGACAAAAGCAGTCAAACACAGCCAACACTAATTCATGAACAACATCAAACAAACAAACAAACAAAAACTAAAAAGCTAACGCAATTATATAAAAACTAATGAATTATGATAATGAAGCCATGAAATGCAACAAAATGACCCCCCCCCCCCCAAGACCTAAGGTGGGGGCTATTCAGCTAAGTTTACTCAGGGGACCAACATGCTGGAAATAAGGATAGCTGTGGGTCAAAGGCCTGAGCCCCAGCATAGAATGATCATTAATACAATACAGTTGACAATGATCCGCGGGCCACTTGCTAGGCCTCGACAGGCCAGATCTGGCCAGTGGGTCGCCAGTTGAATAGCCCTAATCTAAGGTATTCCTTGACAAGACAAGAGAGCATTCACTAAGCAAATCCATGTACCAGGATGAAAGCTGCTCAAATTAGTTGGGAGAACAGTGTAAACTAAACCTGCAGAAGCTTTATTATTGGACTGGAGCAATGTCACAGGGCATAGAGACAGAGAAAAAAAGACTTTTATGAGCACACAAAGTTCCTTAAAGGAGCATTAAAATCTTACATTTTATAATTCTGTCTAAACAGGAATACCAACCAATGGAGAGCCCATTAAGCAACTGACATAACATTTAATGTTTTATTTTTAAAAACAAGCGGACCAGAGACACTGTCACATTACAGAAACAAACTTTTCAGGTGATCAGTTAAACAGTGCATCTGTAATAGACCTTGCTTGAAAAGCACACTTGGACGCAACATTTAATAACCAGCAACAGACACTACATTGAACTGTCTTCTGACATGATCACACCAACAAACTCTCCTTGGAAAATCACCTTATTCAGAGCTACAGAATTCTCATCTCTACAGGGATCAATGTTCCACATACCATCATCTCATTCTTTTCATATTTTTTTCTACTACTTTATATTTCCCCCTCCTTTTTCCTGCTCCTTCTGTCATTTTCATGTGATAAAAGCTATTCCTTTCACTACTTTTCTTTATTTTTTGCCTTTATAAACTGTTGCTGATAAAGATTCTGGTCAAATTATTAGGTAACATGGGTGCATCTTTCTTTCTTTTTGTATCATACAATCAAGTAAACTCAAGTGTTTGTTCTTTAACTCTTTATGACTCATCAAATTGTTACACCAACCTATTCTGCCCCAAATTCTTACTTTAACCCCTTCTGTCCCCATTTTTAAAAAAAAAGAAGTTTTCCCACCCCAAGGATGTGTTCTGTTAACACTCAAGGATAAGAATCAAACTGGTACAAAGGCCAGAAACCCTGTTCAACTGTATAACAGTCACAGTGGGTCACACAGCAGTTACAAAGTAGATTCTGTCACGTGCAGGTGGGTTTGAGTCTTAGTGTTTTACTGATTTAAATGTTAGGACTCAATACGATACCTACAGCAACAACTTCTTAAAGAATGTGTTCAAGCAACACCTGATTGGTACTGTTAAACTGTTAAGCTGGTACAAGTTATGTTACTTTTTTGTATTCTATACTTAACGAAGCTAACATTTTAACTTTATGCTCAACAAAACAATGAACAATATTTTAGTTTGAAAACAGACATCAGCACTGAACGATGTGCAGCAGCATGGTTAAGGTGAATGGGCAGTTATAAAAAATGTGAATATTTTCACGAATATTTGTCACTTACAGAAATCTTCTTGAAATCTATTGGTTTCTGAATGATTTCATAGTATTCTGGCATGAGCTTCCGTGAGGGTAGCTGCATGAACATACTACTCAGAAGCCGACCGTCACTGGAAAACACAAAACAGAACCTGCGTCTAAGCACAGACATAGAAATCTACCTCTCAAAAGATAGATGACAAAATTGTTACAGATGATTAAAGATTATATCCAAGCCTGAAGGGCCGGGTGAAGCACTTACATTAATCTTCTTGAAGTCCAGGGGATTGGGAATGATTTCATAGTATTCTGGTGCAGCCTTGCGCGACGGCAGTCGCGTGAACATGGTGCTCAACACCCTCCCATCGCTAGAAATATATAAAACCAAAAACATTCCTACCCCCTGATAATTTCAGACATGACATACATTAATACAGTAACTGGCCCTCCTGCACCAAGGAATATTGTATATTATACATGTTATGCCTAAAAATTACACTGAACAATCAATTAGAATTCAGATGCAAATTCTAGAAGCAAACAGGAAATTTTAACCCTTACTGCCCTTGCTGCCTGTTTTCACCACTTTTTGTAATGTAGGATGGATGTCTCTCAGCCTGAGTACTGAAGGCTGCAGGACTAGTGCAGTCACCACAAACAGTGCAAGTTTGCATTGTGTGCGTGTGCGTGCTCACAACACAACAAAAATATTCTAATAGCCTAAAAGGTCAAAAGGCAACACACAAATCTTGTATTTCGCCTTTTGTTTTAAAATTGTTCCTGTGTGGGTGCTGGGGGGAGAGAGAAGTGGGGGGGGGGGGGGGGGGGGGGAGAGGAGAAGTGTGGGGGGGGAGAGAGAGAGAAGTGGGGGGGGGGGGGAGAACAGAACAGATCCACTGTCTCCAACAAGCATTTCATAGGAGATGACTAATCAGCAATGTTTCCTTAAAAGCTGGAGTGCATCTGCCTGAGAGGTGAGGAACCAACAGTCTGCATATAAATTAGTCAGATCTGTAAAATGGATAGGTATGCACAATTCAATTTCTGGAACAGGAAAAAGTATATGCGGATGAACAACCAGAACTATTCACGAAAGCTTCATTCATCCTTTGTTTGCTGTTGGACGTCACATATGGCTTGCACTTTATTCTTCCACTCCACTCTATTGCATGCACTCTTGATTTCTGACCTAGTTCAGCCAAGCATTTAATAATGTTCTTTTTAATGTTTCCCTTGGGCGTCTCTCTTTTCTCAGGCCATTTGTTTCCTATTTAGTGTGTGTGTGTGTGTGTGTGTGTGTGTGTGTGTGCGTGCGTGCGTGCGTGTAATTCATTGCTCATTTTGTCTCAGAGTGTGCCAAATATATCTCCACCTTCTTTGTCTTACTGCAGTCGATAAAGAGTTTACACGCAGTGAATGAGAAGAAGATTTTAAAATGAAATTCACACAAAGAGAACTGTGGTTGTTAGATGTTTACTTGCAGGCCTGAAAAGCTTCAGTTTAAAACAGCGTTAAGGTGGATTTTATAAAACTAACTGGCTATGGAACCTATGTTGACAGGTCTCAAATGTGCATCAGAACAAATGAGAAGTAAAGTTGGTGGTGTGATGTTGACTACTTACCCACTGAGCATTGAATGGTTTATAAATACATGGCTATAGTACCATTTGATACATGTGCCAATTGTGTGCAGATGGGTTCATAACCCCTTTTATTATTATTCACATATGGATATCTTTATAGCCCACCTTGTATGGCAAACAGATGTTCTACCATACAATGATGCTAAGTTATTCAACACCTTGCTTGGTCTCCACATGCCTCTCTTCCCTCCAATTTTGCCATTGTCACAACATACTCTAGCGTCCTCATTTTCATGGCGTAATAAAAGAATGGTAATTTATTCTTGTCCCTTTCAAGATCTTTCATTTGTTTTTTTCCGCAGTCTAAGCTATAAACATTCATCTATAAACCTAAATCCTTGCGGCTTACATGTAATTTTTCACATATCAGCTAACTGTTCATAATTCACTTTCGTATATCAAGACTGGCAGTGTATTGAACTTAAGAACTCTCCCAACTTAACTGACATATTTTGTACAATATTCTTCATCCTGTGAATTTCTCCTTGGTGTGTAAATCAATATTTAAAACACCACCCCCCCCCCCCCCCCCCCCCCCCCCCCCAAAAAAAAAATTTATTTTTGTTCCTTCTAATAACATCTGTTGTTTGTATGGTCTTCAATAATCTTGATTCCTCTTCCTTATACATTTGATACCGGTGATTCCTCCTCCACTTGCTGATGTGTTTGGATAATGACTGTTTCTTCCATTTGTTTATATAAGCACATAAACTTAAGAAGAAAGCTCAGTAATACAAGACTATTGGCAATGATCCACTGGCCGCTTTCTAGGCCTCAGGTGAAATCTGGCCCGCGGGCTGCCAGTTGAATGGCCCTGGCCTAAAAATGAACCTGTGCATTTATTAGCTGTTATGCGATCTGAATAGGCAATTTTACATTCAGTAACATTTCAGACTTCTTACTGAAAGGTAAATCCACAAAGCTGTCTGTTAACAAAACGCCTGCAGCTGACTTCAAATCTTGTATGCTTGGATTGTTAAACTGTGTTCTCAGCTCTAAGCCATAGATTAATAGTCTACCAATGAATAGGGAAAGTTATGTATTTTCCCCACATACAATTGTGTGGTCAAAAAAGATAAGACTGCGTTTATCTGACCTTTAGCCGAACATTTATATTATTAATTCACATATTTATTAAATACACAATGCTTACTTGTCTTTGTAATTGACCACAATATTATAGAGCTTTCTCATCATCTTAGTCAAATTGGGTGGATTTGGCTGCTGTTTTTCCAGTGGTGGCCGCCCTCGCTTCTTCTTCTCCCTCGGTTCATCATCCAGGTGCTGCTTTCTCTTGCTTGTACCAGGGGTGGATGCTTCAGACTTTCTTTTCTTTGGCTTTTTGTGTTTCTTCGTGATCTCTTCCACAACTTCATCCAAGTTTCCATCTTCAATTGCCTGTTTAAAGAAAAGAAAAAAACAAATATTGAATTTAAACACCCCAAAAAAAACACAAACAATAGTTCGCATAATTTACTGTCTAGCAGATATCGCGTTATCTCACCAGGCACGTACTGCAGTAACAATTGATTACAATGAAGCAAATAAATGCATCCTTCTAGAGCACAAAATTGACTTCATTCCAAAGTAACAGTTTAACCAAGGTGTTCAAATTCTCAATGTGGAAATACTGCTTTGATTTCCTAAGACGCTAAATCCCAAACCAGCTAGCTGAAAAATGTTTCAAGAGATTGAATGAATACCTTTCTTTTTACAGCCTATGCCATGAGGCAACTGGTAATCATGCCTGGCCACAGTTTTCTGTCAGGAATACTGACAATCCTTTCTGTTATAGGTATTAAAGCATGTCATGATGCCGAACTATGGGACATCTCTTATGGTCTCCCTCTGCCTCTCTTCCCCTCCAACTTTCTCCTTGTTATGACATACAAGTTTTCCTTTTCTCACAAAGTTATGAAACAGTGCAGATTATCTCCTTCTGATTCGGGTAACCAGGTCATTGAGAGTTAATTTCTTTCAAGAAATCTCCGTTATGCTTATTTTTTTTTTTTTTTTTTTAGTCAGTCAGTTTTCTGGAGATTCTTCTATAAAACTACATCTCTGCAGCTTCTACATATTTCCAGTGATCATCTGACCGTCCAAGATGTCGGCCTGAGTAAATTGGTTTCCCACCTTTCACAAGTTTTTTAATGACATGATGTCTTTGGTTAATGGTCGCTACACCTATATAAGAGCCTTGGTACTGGTTGTGCTGCATGGTGTGTCGACCTGGTAGGCTTGATTACATTAACAATTTTTTTTATAGATATTAACTGGGGCGGAAAAACTATGCTTTTTTTTTGGTTACTGTGTAAATCATTTGTGGCATTATAAACTCATAATGGCCTCACACTGTTCCATGTGGCTGTGTCAAAAAAAGTGCTTTTGTAGTCAAGAGGAAGGAAAGCAGTTAACTCTATACTCCATACGTGTTTATGATTACTCCCTTTCATGAAAACCCTTTGTGCGAAATTATGAGTAAACAAATATCAAAACATCAATTTTTAGCGACTGACGGAATGGCTAGCAAAGCAGGCTAGCCTGCCTAATTGGTGGTCATAACTTTCAACCCCCTGAATTCAAAAACTGTTTTTTTACCCAAGCTCCAAATTTCTAATGCTTCTTCGCTTCCTCCAGTTTCTTAGGATAGAGTTCAGAAAATTATAACGAGCCATTTCTTTAATAAAATTTTGAAAAAGTCAGCTCTGAAGATTCTTACAGGGTAAAAGGGTTAAAACAATACAGTGGCTGTTATGTCTTGTGATAACTGCAACATGTTCAGGGAAATAAATTAGAAAAATGTTACTTATTATGGAAAGGGTGATAAATGTTAGGTTTTCATATATTCTAGGTCACACGCCACACAAGATAAACTTGCCAATTCCATAATGATTCAGAACTGAACATTTGTTCTTTGATTTGATTTGATCAAGAACTGACATAACAGCACTCAGGGCATTCCCATAAGTGCTTTTTCCCCATCTTCACCAGTCAGCAAAGCGTTCCGATACTAATCGTGCCAGTAGCTTTCTGAATAAAAGTCCATCTTGTCCTTCCTCTGAACCTCGAGCATCTCCCAGAACCTCTCGTGACTCCCCCCTGCATCAATCTCACCAGACTGTGGTGATCCATCTGCTCTTCCAAACTGTACATGCTCTCCCACTAGGCACTAACCGCGTTTGCCTTGTCATGTGTCAGTATTCCACCAAGTTGTGCAGAGCCGGCCAGTCAGTCCGCCTGTTCATTTCCTAACACACCCGCGTAACCCCAGTGAAAAAAATCCAGACACTACTGAATTCATTCTTAAAAACGTATATGTAACTACACCAATTTTTAATTTTTATTAATGTGGTAATAATGGAAGTGATTCATGATACAATTAAAACAAAAACAAAAAAGCAAATTTCTTGATTTTCTAGAAGTCTCCTGACCTACAAGAGAGTTCCGTTCCAACAGGTCGTAAGTCAAATTTATATTTCTCAACACTAACATTTATAACTGGTTATAAAAATTGTGTATAAACAAAACAAATTATTCTATGTACATATAATTATTTTACACAGGCAGCTGTGTAGTCTGTGCATTAGTTCCAGGAATAATTCTGACCCTACCAATATAGTTGTCTTTCTTTACTTACTTTTTCATTTATTTATCAATTTGTGTGGTCGTAGACGCGGATGCTTATAAGTTGAGGATATTTTCTTTGTTTCTGCACATCGCTGTTAGCGTCTTTAGACACAGCTAATGATCAGTTTCCAGCAATGTGCCTGCTCATGTTAAGTTTTATCATGCTGTTAACCCCATCCATCTATATTTTTCTTGGCCTTTCTCTGTGTCTTGATGTTTCCACTCTCATGTTGTATGCTCTTGCAACTGTTTTTAATGGTTATCCATTCTGATAAGGTGTACCATCTTGAAATCATCACATTTATCTTAAGGGTAGTTGCATGACAGCTTAGTATATTTGATTCTAAAAGATTTGTGGCATGAATTCTTACCCGCAGCCACTGCTTTTCAGTGAGAGAATCAGAATAGTCCACTTCCTTGCGGGCTCGGTTTCCTCTGCCAAACAGCTTATCTTCTTCATCCTCCAATGTCAGTCTCTCCACCTCCTTTACATCTTTCACAATCCACAAGGGTAGCTCACTCTCTTCCATCAAACGAGGCTTTCTGTTTCCATCTCTGGCTTCAGCCCGTCGTCTGTCTATGTCCATCCTCTAATACACAAAAAAATAAAAATGATACACATTTTATGCAATAACAACCAACAGCAAGTCAAAAAACTTTGTTTCATGCCACTAACTCTTTCTGCATTAAGCAACTCAATAATTATTAGTTAGATTAAAAGGCACATCTGACACTTTGGACTCATCAAAGATGAAAACAAAGGAAAATGCAGAGCAACAATAAAATTCATAACCTGTTTAAATCACCAGTATCAGGAGGGCCTGTAATGGATGAGGCATAAAGATAACAAAGAGACAAAACAATGTGTACATAAAAGATGGGAATGGGAGTATGTGGTGTGGTGATTTCAGTCATGAGTGTGAGAGAGAGTTGAAGCTGTTGTGCTGTGTATCAACTCAGGCAAGGCTCCGGTCACATGCCCTTGTTTTTGCACCATGGATATATATATCAGCCATAATTGAGCTGACCTATTTCAGTTTTGTGCACACATCCATTTTACAGACCTGGCTTATTTGTATGCAGACTACTGGTTCTTCATCTGATTTTAAAGACAAAATCCCCAATTAGTCACCTTTTATGACATGCAAGTCAGAAGGCAGCGTTTTTATTTCTTCCCCACAAAATCTGGCCCAAGAACAAACACTGGGATTTTTAGAGACAAGACAGCATTCAATGGGTGATGTGATCGGCATTACACTGTTCACCTTTACTTCCCAGGACATTACCTAGTACCCATTTTAGACTGGGTCAGCCTGAAGCCAGTCACTTTTGAAAATCCCTGTGTGGGTCCAGGGCTCCATTCTGGAGAACAAAGAATGGAGCCACTACTCCCTAACAAGCATGTCCAAGGATGCAACTAATCAAAATACAAATAAGCCAGATCTGTAAATTGGATGTGCACAGAAATCCCAAGCTCTGGATCAAGACCAAGGTCAAGGAGTGGAAGAAGCAGAACTTTCCGCCAGAGTTTACAGCAAGTGAATGCTAAGAAGAGAAAGAAGAAGACTTCAAAATCTTTGTGTATGCCACAGATTTGAACCCTTTCCAGTGGTTTACTACCGTTTTATTCCTTCACTGTGTTTCTGTCCCATACAGGGAAAGAGATGTGTCTTCTTATCACGATACATATTAGGAAATCAGTACAACACTGTTCATACCTGATAAGCCTCAAATTCATCCTCTGTCCTGGCTAACATCTGATTTATAGTTTCATCATCTGGAAATTCATCCTCTTCCTGAAAGCAAAACAAAAAACTTCAATACTTAAACAACTGTTTAAAAAAAAATAAGTTTAGATGTATAATTCAAAATGTACATGTTGAGAGCAACAGAATAAATCTTATTGCACTTCAGGTGCAGTTATGTCAAGTATGAGAAAAATGATCAGAATAATGAAAACATGAAACAGAGAAATAGCCCCATTAAAGATGCAAACATTTTGTTGATTTAAAAAAAAGCTGAATACAGCACACTCTCTATTAACCCTAAAGTGGCATTTCTTTTTCTACATTCACAGAGGTTAGTTTACTACAACCTGTAAAGTGTTCTTCCTATCCACCCTAAAAAGGGTGGCTGCTAAATTGTGTTTCAGTTTACAGCTAGGCAGCGGTATCTGTGCCTTTTGGCCCAATACACCTGATTTCTTCACATCAATAATAAGATTCCTTTTATGGTAAGCTTGTTTGTAGGAAATTGGGGGCAGGGGGTCTGTTATTTCTGCCCCCAAAATGGGGCCCCAGAGCCCACACAGGAAGAATGTAGCATTTTGCATTTATAAACACTTCACTTATTGTATTATATGCACTGATCCAGCATATGTCAAACAGTAGAGTGCAATTATTGTCCTCATTAGTGTCCAGTTGCTTTCATTGAGAGATCACTCCTGTGGACCAAACTTCCAGTCTCTGGATGCTTTGGTACTCCATATCAGCATCTGGCAGAATCAGGGAGATCCATTAATGAAGATGTTACCCGAGTTGACAACGTCCATTCAGAATAACTTTGGTCAGCATGTTTCTGCAAAAGCCTATTAATGCTGTCATGTTCTGGCCTAGACATCACTAAAATAACACACAATTCAAAACGATCAGTCTAAAAGCAGCAAAAGAGGATATAAATTTCAAACCCAAACCTCATCTTCGTCAACTTCCTGTGTAAGCAAAGCCTGGAGGAACTGCTTTCTCTCTATATTGGTGGATTTGTTATCAAACATGCCAGCTTGGATAACTTTAGAGTCCACGTTCAGCTTGTAGCGGGCAGCTGCTTGGATGCGTTCTTCTACAGAGTTGACTGTCATCAGACGTAGCACTCGCACCTCATTCTTCTGGCCGATACGATGAGCTCTGTCCTGAGCTTGAAGATCCTGTCAATAGGATTGTAGACTTGATTAACAATGAACCTCGCTATTTTTATGGTATTAAGTATGCAAGAATTTGTACTAATGGGAGCTTACAAAATGATAGCTTAATGTAAATGTAATCAAAGTCCATTAAAACACTTTGGGTATGCAGAAACAGCTCCCTGTTGAAATATATCACCAACTTGTTTATGTTTGCCACCAGGTGTTGTGAAAAGGAACAGTTAGTCTTGTATTCAATCTATGGCACTGGTTATTGTCATACTATGTATATGTACTATGTCTCTAATGTTAGAAGTCTGTTTTCTTTTTGGGTGCTCTAATATCAGATTTGAAATATGTGATAGAGGAAACAGTGGAGTAGAAGAGGAAGCCAATGTCACTTCGGATAGACAACATCAGAAGAAAGTGTGGTGAAGATGCAGGAAAAAAGTTTTTGATGACTCTTACAGTAAACTTAGTGAGTTCTGACATAACCCGCATTCTCTCTGCAGGTGTCAAATACCAAGCTGGAAATAATCCTAATACATTAACTCATCATCAATCAGCAAGTCTTTCATAGAACGTCACTCTCCTTACGGACTGATTGAAAGTCTCTCTTCTTCCGGCCCTATGTGCAGCCAATGCATCTTCAATGTCTTCTGTCCACATTCGTGGAGGTCAGCCTCTGCATCATTTTCCAGAAAATGTACCCTCAAACACCCTTCTCTCCAGGCCACCATGACATTTAACATGGCCCAAAATATTTAAGACTTTGAGACAGGATGCAGTTTAGGAGCCAATTCTCCCCGACGCTCAGATCATGTGGGATACATGTTAACTACAGGATTAAAAAAGCAAGGTGGAGGTGGTTTAAAGTAGAGGTGTATTTTATTTCAGCTGTAACGTTTGAAATTTTTCTGGTATGCATTTTAGCTAGGCAAAGTTGGCATAACAGCTCTGGTTAATTATAAACATCTGCCTTGATGTGGATTGTAACCTCAGACCTCAATGCTGGAAGGTAGGCATCTAGCCACTGCACTGCCACAGCTTTCCACAGAGGTAACAGCTGCTGTGTCTTAAACAAGGTTCAACTAAAACAAGTCAAAGTAAACAGTAAAGGATCCCTTTCATGAACTGAGTGCTTAACCTTTATTCCTATGGGAAAATCTGCACTTGCTGGGTGCTGCACTCAACGTCAGGTCAGCTGCCTTTATTTCCCAGGAAACTGCCTGGCACCCATTTGACATGGCAGCCAAGGTTGGTTTTAATTTTAAAAAAAACCTGCCTTGGTGCAGATTTGAATTGCAGACCATCAGGTTAGCATCTACCCACTATGTTATATCACCACTCTTAAACTTAACTAAAGACTGAGTTCATATTCCTTTTATAAACATGAAAGGGGGGGGGGGGCTTCAAATGAAAATCTTAAAAAACAAGTGTTAAATCACAATAACCTGCCTGATTCAACAGTAAACAGTCTGTCACAGAAGTCACACCGTTCTGACTTCCTATTCAAACGCTTGCTAGACTGGCAGGCATAAATCATAATACTGGACCTTCATTTTCAGATCTCTAGGTTTCACCCCATAAGTGATTAAAAAACATAACAGAACAGTGCTTCTCTTGGTGCATGTCAGAAGTGGGGGCAGCCATCTTTAAAATGTCATTATGACACCAATGCGTTTGTCTGCGCTGTGATGTCACATGCTTAACACTCCTGACATCCTTAACAATACTGAGAGGTTACAAGGCACTTTTAAGGTTTGAATGTGGTCCCTGGTGTGCGCATCTATATCTGTATATATGAAACACATCAATATCTACAAGTAGAAACTAACCTGGTGAGGATTCCAGTCAGAATCAAAAATGACAACGGTGTCAGCTGTTTGCAGATTGAGCCCCAGACCTCCTGCTCTGGTACTCAATAAGAAAATGAAGTAGGGAGAATCTTTGGCATTGAACATGGCCAGTAAGTTGCCACGATCTTCTGATTTGGTGGTGCCATCCAACCTCAGGTAACGAAATCCTGTATTAAACATTAACATATTAAACATGTGACACAGCAATAGAAGGAAAAGTGCTTAACCATGTCAATAAATTCAAGTACTCAGGGACACTCATAACATCAGATGGTCGATGTGTGACAGAAAGTAAGAGCAGAATTGGCCAGGCAAAGGCAGCATTTCAGAAGATGAAAAGTATTTTATGTCATATAAATCACTCTCATTAAACATCAGAAAATGAGTACTGAAATGTTACATCAAGCCTGTTCTGTTGTTTGGTAGTAAATCTTGGAGTGTATTAAAAAGACTTTGGAGGCAACCAAAAAGAATGTTGTGAATATCCTGAACTGCCAGAGAACCTAACAATGACTGCCTGGAAACGGCTAATAAAAGTAGAACATTAGATACAACAATGAGAAGGAGACAAAGTTCTTTGGTCATATGATGAGAAAAGGACCACTGGAAAATATTGTGACGAAAGATAACTGGCAGAAGAGGCAGAAGCAGACCAAGAGAAATGGTGATGGATGGCTTAAGACAGTGGCATGGAGGAATATCATCAGTGGAATTGATCTGGAACAATTGATCCAGAACATCAAAGAAATGCAAGAATGCCTACGCCAGCTGGCAAGGCATTTGATGATAATGATGTTAAACACAAGTGGCAGAATATATTTCTTTAACAAACATTTTGCCACCACAGTTTATATGCATTATCATCAACATTTTATTCACCATTCAGGGCCACATAATGAGACAGAAAACTGAAATATGTGCAAAGACATATGGGAATTCATATTAAAGAAAAAAGGCAATGAGAGATAATTTCTGACAGTCTACTGCCATGGCATAGAGAGGTGCCAGCAAAAAGCTGATACCTGTTGCTGCAGATCACAAGATGTGAAGAAGCAGGATTGCCCTTGGCAGTCTAGTCGGCAAGGCCCTATATAATGATGATGCATAAACTTTACTTCTTCTTCTTCAGGCTCACCGGCTGTAAACTCTGGCATAAAGTTCTGGTTTTTCATCCACTTCTGGACTGCAGTCCTGTGAGTAGTGGACTCTCTCCCAGTCCTTAAGAAAGAGAATAGGGGCTTTTGAGCTGAAATGCTATAGAAAAACTCTCAGAATATCTTGGACAAAGAAGAGGAGAAATACTGACATCTTGAAAGATCTGAACATCAAGGAAGATTGGCTAATAAACAGCATCCTGTCTCGGAAGCTGAAATATTTTGGTCCTATCAAGCGCCACGACGGATTGGAAAAAATAATAGCAGAAGGCATGGTACCAGGAAGGAGAGGCAGGGGTCGACCAACACAAAGATAGGCACAGGATATAAGTGACTCCTTGAGTATGAAACTACATGAGGCATGAGAGCTGACAAGAGACAGTTTCTTTCAGGCAGACCGAGATGAGAGCGACATTCTGCAAAGGACCTGCCTCATGATGATGATGAGTGGGCTCATTGCCAGGCTGGCATTCAGCTCAAGAATGTAATTCTGACTTTTACATAGATCATTTGGAATCATCACCAGACACTGCTATGTGTGATGTTCACAGCATGCTGCTAGCCAGTCTGCAAAGAGATTGAGAACAAATCCTGGAGCAAGGAGCCGACAATCTCAGGTGGTGTCATCATAAAACAACTACCAGACCTCAGAATAAACAATGCCAAGGTGGTATATGGCATGCCTTATTGGTTCACACCTGTATGACAGCTTCAATCACTGATTATAAATGATTATGTAATTTAAACCTTACCTATCTCTCCTTAATGGTAATCTTACGCATGTTCTACTTGAGTTTCAAGACCCCATTTTTGGGAGAACAGTTCCACTGCTCCTTAACAAGTGTATTGCAAAGGGGGACTGAGAAAGTGGATTTGTTAGGCCGGGAAACACAAATATAGCAGAAGAACAAATTATTCATACCATGCGGATGAAACACATAGATGACAATCTTTCAATTACTGCATTAGCTGTCATGTGGTAATGCTTACCCCTGTAGACAAAGTAATCCTCCATGATGCTCATGAGTGAAGTCATCTGACAAAAAAGCAGCACCTTGTGATCTGAAGACTTGAGCTTGGGTAGAATTCGATCTAACAGTTCAAACTTGCCTGACGATCGGTACAGTTCCGGTCTGAAAATAGCACAAACAGACTTCTGATTAGGTAAACATGGAGATTAAAATTTTTAAAAATTAAAAAAAAAAAAAAAAACTTGCCAGGACACCCTGTTCAACTGTAAAGCATAGAGCAGTCATACTGGGGCACCACAATATGATTACAAAGTAAACTGCGGTTCAGTGTGGGTTAGTCTCAATGTTGACTCCTTCTGCAGCAAGCAACTCCCTGGAAACATACTGATGCCTGAAAACATGCCTCTACCATTCTTCGCCAGCCGCTTAACTGTCAATTAACCCATTACACTGGAATGTTTGCTTAAAGTGGTCAGAGTGATATTCTTCTTCTGCATTTATCCAAAGATGTAAATGTGTTATGCCCATTAATATTTGCACTTTTCAGCTGACATATTAAACTTTTGCAGGCCTTTATTGCATGGGTTGGCCTTCCTTGTATCACAGCGATATTATTTTACCTCCTTTAGATTCAACAAGATGCAAACATTATTGACAGCTAAATAATGCATTAGTTACCAAGGTGTAGCGGCTGGATGCTCGCCTGCGGACCAGAAGGTCATAAGTTCGGGTCCTGATGTAGTCAAAAACTTTTTACTTTTTAACGTCCTTCCAGGTCGACCCAGCCTTGAGTAAGGTACCAGGTGCAGTCCTGGGAAGTAAAGGCGGCCAACGTGATGCTGAACACATCACTCACCAAGTTCCAACTGGTCTATAAAATACAGATCTAGCCCTACACCCCTAAAAGTGTGGAAAAGGGTCCTTTACTTTACTCACTTAAAAAAAAAAATATTAAAAAAGAGAAATGTCAAATGTTATGTACACCTGCTTTAAGTTGTAGAAACCCAGATAAGCAGCTAGAAAATGAAACTGAGTCTCTGGAGATGTGGATATACAGAAGAATATGTCACATTTCATGGAAACAAAACAATTAAATACAGAGGTTTTGGAAAGACTGGGAATGAAATGAGTCACTGAAAGAAATTAAAGAAGATTTTGAAGAAAGGTTGGAAGATAATGCAAGAGAAAATCAAAAACTGTTCTACAAGACCCTTAAGAACATGAGGAAGGAGAAAGAGTGCCCACTGAAATTCATAAAAGACAAGGAAAGGGTTCTGCTTACTACAACAAATGATATCATGGACAGATGGAAAGAATACCTCTCAGAGCTCCTTGGTGTTAAAGTCATGACCCAGAAATAAAGGATTTCACTAATGAGAAGGAAATCATCCATGAGGATAATAACATCAGGATGGAAGAATTGAATGCAGCTATTGGGAAGATTAAGCTGGGAAAAGCAGCAGGTCATAATGGTATAACACCAGAGATGGTTAAATATATGCAGGTGAGCACCTTCTACTGAAGGTTCTCCAGGCAGCATGGTATAGCAAAACTATACCAAAAGATTGGGAGATTGCCATGATTATACCTACATTTAAGAAAGGTGAAAACAGACAACGTGAAAACCACAGAGGCATATAACTCCTCAGCGTTCCTGGTAAAAGTTACTCTAGAATTCTCGAGCAGAGACTTGAAAGTCTGGTGGAGCCACAGATGGATGAGGCCCAATGCGGCTTCAGAGCAAACCCGAAGTACTCAAGACTTGAGACAGATGAGTGATAAGCCCTTGAATATAAGAGTGAGATGCACCTATGTTTTTTGGATCTAGAAAAGGCATTTGACAAGGTACCCTGGAACAAGCTCTGGGACTGCTGGGACTTGTCTGGAACGAAGAGCTTGAAAAGAGAGGGATGACCATCAGTTTCTCCAAAACTAAAACCATGGTGATCTCAAGAGAGAAGAAGAAACACCTGATCTTGATAGGACAGTATGCACTGGAGCAGGTCAACTAGTTCAAATACCTTGCAGTTGTATTAGACCGAAATGGAGGCATTAAAACTGAGCAGGCTACATGAAAAGCAGCTGCTGGGAGACTCTTCCAGGCCATAAACCGAGGGTTTCTTAGCAAAAGAGAAATTAGCAAGAGGACGAAAATGGCTGTTTACTGATCCACCTATGTACCAGTCCTGACCTATGGGTGTCAGTCATGGGCAACGACAACAGCTCACAGAAGCCAGCTTCAGGCCTCAGTAAATCAGATATCTGAGAAAAGTGGTCCAAGTGACAAGAAGGGACAAAGTCTGCAATAAGACAATACGTCAGGATCTTGATACCCAGTCCTTAAAAACCTGAGTGGATCAGTCACAGCTACGATGGTTTGGACATGTATGCAGAATGGGAGAAAATAGGTCTCCAAGGCAGGCATGGGAGGCTAAGAACCAAGGAACCAGACCTCCAGGGCGACCTAGGGTGCGCTGGGAAGACAACATCCTACAGTCCCTAACTGACAGAAGACTGGAATGGAACAAAGCCAGAAAGAAAACTGCTGATAGAGACGTCTGGCGACCTCTATGGCAAACCTCTACACCACAAGGTAGAAGAGGAGCGACTCAGTAAGTAAAGCAGAAGAAAACACTCTTAAAATCCATACTCGAGGAATAAGTTGACTGCATAATAGCAAGAGGTAGACAAAGATATGAACAGCAGTCTGAAAGTGTGTATTACCAAGAGACAGGTCCATTCCAGCCAACTCTCACTGTAAAGATTATAACATTTTAAATGACATTCAGCTGTGTAACAAAAGTAGGGCACAGAAAGATTCTAAAAAAAACAGTCTAGGACAGAAAGAATGAGGCCATCATGTTCTCATAAGTTGGAATGCATCTGTCTGAGAGGCAAAGAACCAAAAATGTGCATACAAGTAAACCAGATCTGTACATCGGATGCGCATGCAGAATTTAAATTCTGGAACAAGACGAAAGCCAAGAAGTCGACAAACAATCAGAACTTTCTGCCACAGTTTACAGCCCGTGAATGCAAAGAAGAAGAAATTACCATTTATGTGCCCAAATAAACTTTTCTTTAAAAAAAAAATTGGGAATAGGTACAGGTAAAAAAGAAATTTCATAAAGATTATATTACAAACAATACTTCTAGTCCTCAGGTCAAAAGGGCAACTTAAAATATGGACACTCAAAACAACACTGAAATCAACACCCACCCCCTTGACAACATCTGTCTTATGTATAAATTACCACCCAGTTGTGCAGATCCAGCCAATCTGTCTCCACCCAGTTGTGCAGATCCAGAAAAATCTGCCTGTTCATTACCCACCACACTGGCATCGCCTGGAGAAAAGATCTAAAGTATACTGACTACCCGTGACCTTTCCAGTGAGGCTTGCCGCTCTGCTCGAAGCGTCCATGTCTTCACCTGTCTCAGCATGCTTTCAGAGTCTGTTAGAATTATGATACAGAATGGGGAAAACATGGACCAAACAATGCTTACAGAAAGAAGATATTCTGATGTAGAATGATTATCTTACCCACTGATGCTTCCATGACAACCTACATGATCAGCAATGGCCTCCTCAATGTGCGGGAACATAAATGGGTGGTTGCAGATCTTACGCAGCTGCATGATAGTGTTCATCAGGGTTTTGGTTCCTGCTTTACCCTGAAAACCATGCAATCAAAACATGTTCCTGCATTATTGATCCTTTTATTGCTTTTCAAATCAATTACATTGTTTTATAATTACAAAATATTATAAATATTGGGTGACACAAAGTATATGCCTTAGAAAATCCAGGCTGGGTCCATAGCAGCAGAATGGATTGTATCACTAAGCACACTGCAAATGGCTAGCCTTACCTCTTATCTTTGTGCTGCATCATGTGGGTGTTTGAGGCAACAAGTATATTATGTGACACTGTGGTTGCTATGACTGGCCTGGCACCGGACAAGCAATATTATCAACACCATGTGCAGCACATATCACAATGACCAACACCACAAGAGGGATGACTCTACATCCCTATCCAGGCTGATGCACATGAGGGATGACTCTACATCCCTATCCAGGCTGATGCACATGGGGGATGACTCTACATCCCTATCCAGGCTGATGCACATGAGGGATGACTCTACATCCCTATCCAGGCTGATGCACATGGGGGATGACTCTACATCCCTATCCAGGCTGATGCACAAGAGGGATGACTCTACATCCCTATCCAGGCTGATGCACATGGGGGATGACTCTACATCCCTATCCAGGCTGATGCACATGGGGGATGACTCTACATCCCTATCCAGGCTGATGCACAAGAGGGATGACTCTACATCCCTATCCAGGCTGATGCACATGGGTGATGACTCTACAACCCTATCCAGGCTGATGCACAAGATGGATGACTCTACATCCCTATCCAGGCTGATGCACATGGGGGATGACTCTACATCCCTATCCAGGCTGATGCACAAGATGGATGACTCTACATCCCTATCCAGGCTGATGCACAAGATGGATGACTCTACATCCCTATCCAGGCTGATGCACATGGGGGATGACTCTACATCCCTATCCAGGCTGATGCACAAGATGGATGACTCTACATCCCTATCCAGGCTGATGCACAAGATGGATGCCTCTACATCCCTATCCAGGCTGATGCACAAGAGGGATGACTCTACATCCCTATCCAGGCTGATGCACAAGATGGATGACTCTACATACCTATCCAGGCTGATGCACAAGATGGATGACTCTACATCCCTATCCAGGCTGATGCACAAGAGGGATGACTCTACATCCCTATCCAGGCTGATGCACAAGATGGATGACTCTACATCCCTATCCAGGCTGATGCACAAGAGGGATGACTCTACATCCCTATCCAGGCTGATGCACAAGATGGATGACTCTACATCCCTATCCAGGCTGATGCACATGGGGGATGACTCTACATCCCTATCCAGGCTGATGCACATGGGGGATGACTCTACATCCCTATCCAGGCTGATGCACACGGGGGATGACTCTACATCCCTATCCAGGCTGATGCACATGGGGGGTGCAATCTGGAGCTACAAGAAATGAAAATTTCACCAAGGGCACCAGATGTTTGATTAATCAACACAGAACAGGGGTGTTATCAATCATTTGAAGCTTGTGGATTAATCCCCAAAAAATCACAAATTATTTATTGTCTTCTAAATAAAGATATAATTTAGCCAATTCAAAATCCTGCTAAACTTTTTTTTTTTTTGAATACGAAAGAACATTGATTTATAACTTTGTAATCTGTCCTCTAGTATCATAAGAGTTTTTATTTGGGGGGAAAAAAACCACTTTATAATACTCATAAAGACAAAGAAACACAGAATGTTACCCTCTTGTCTTTCTCACAAACACATAACACAAAGACAAAGAATCACATAATATTACCCTCCTGTCTTTCTCAGGTACACATAACACAAAGACAAAAAAATCACAGAATTGTACCCTCCTGACTTTCTCAGATGCACATAATACAAAGACAAAGAATCACAGAATAGTACCCTCTTGTCTTTCTCAGGTACACATAATACAAAGACAAAGAATCACAGAATCATACCCTCTTGTCTTTCTCAGGTACACATAATACAAAGACAAAGTATCACAGAATCATACCCTCTTGTCTTTCTCAGAACCATCTGTAAGCAGCACTCCTCTAGACTGCATGTGGTTGTAGATGAGCCTCTGCAGAGCTGACATATCACACTTGATAACATACTCAACCTGAAACAAACACATATGTAATATATTACAAACTCACCATTGTGAAACTTCATATGCAAATCAGTCATATGGCTAGCTACCACTTTCTGATAACATGCCAATGGTAGCTAAATTTCTGCCTGACTTAATCACTGCATATTTATGCATGAGTAATGAAATGTTCTCTTCGGCTACCCTCTTCATTGTGTTCCTACTATTTTGCCTTCACGGACTGCAGTTAGGGGACCATGATGATGTAATCTAGGATTGAACCACAACAGACCATTTTGTATTACCACGAGTAAGATGTTCTTTTATGTCAATTAAAATAGCTCCATTAAAAAAAAAAAACAACTTACTGAAGATCCTTAAATTCTCCCTAAACATCTGAGGTAATTAGAAGGAGAACATAAAGAAGTTGTAGTCATATAATTTATTTGATCCTTGCTTATTTGCTTACTCCACTTAACAGATGGAGAAAAAACAACTTTACTGTATATTTTGTTAAATAAGGTAATTATAGGAATCTATACAACAAAGCATTTTATGCTATCACAATCAATGTCACTGCACCTTGGACTTTCCCATGCATGGTCAGTCTCCTGATGCAGCAGCCAACACAATGTATCTCTACTTACTTTTTCCTTCCACGTGTGCCGCTAAGCGTTGTAGGGAGATACAAGTTCCTGTCATAAGCAAGGCGGGCAGCATCTGATGTTCTGAGGCCATGCTTTTGGCAGGTTTCAGAGACCCCGTCAATCCACCGTTTCCTTGGTCTTCCTCTTGCCTTATATCCTGAGCTTCTTTGGTTGAAAATTTGTGATGTTATTTGATCATTTTTCATCCTGGTTAGATGTCCAAACCATTTCATTCTTTGATGTTCTATGTAGTCTAAACATGGTGTAGTTTTGACAGTGTTTCTAATGTCTATATTCTTTATCCTGTCTAGTCTGGTCTTATTCGCTGCTTTTCTTAGACATTTCATTTCACAGGATTCTATTTTTCTTTCATGGGTCTTGTTGATTGTCCATGTCTGGCACTGGTAGCAGAGTGTTGGAATGAAGATGGTGTTTATCAATTGTCTTTTGGTCTTCATGGTTATATCTGGATGTTTAAGCAGAGGTGATAGTTGGTATGTGACAGCATTTGCTTTCTGTATTCTTGTTTCTATCTCTCTGTCCATTCTTCCATCCTCTGTAAATATACTGCCCAAGTATTTGAACTCTTTGGTTTGCTTGATTTTGGCACTTCCAACATTTATATTCAGTGGCCTGTGTGTTCTGCTGATCTTCATAACTTCTGTTTTTTCTGTACTGATTCTCATATTATGTTGTAAACAGCTGTTGTTGAGAGTAGTCAGATGTTCCTGTAGATCATATTCATTTTGATACAGTATGCTTTGATCATCAGCAAAAAGTAATTCGTTTATAGCATACACGTCTGGGTTTGCTTCTACAGTGATCTTATCCATGTATGTTATGAAAATGTATCTCTACTGATTCTCAAATCTACTGATTCTCTCCTTGAACAAATTCTCACCTTCTCTGGCAACTGAGATTCCACTTCTTTCTTGAGACGTCTCAACAAGAAGGGACGTAACACCTTGTGCAAACGTCGAATGATCAGGAGTGTCTCTTCCTGATTCAGCTCCACCTGAAGAATACACAATAAAATCTAACATCTAAATCCAGAAAATTAAGTAAACTCCCACTTTTGAAATAGTATTTAAAAAAAATGGAGGGGGGCATTATATAATGCTTGTATCCATTTCAGTTTCACTTCTGCCAGCTGTAATCATATATACAGCATTATAAAGTTAAGTAATCTTTTTACACCATTAGTGCACATGATGCCAGATTCATATATTTATAGACCAATCAGCACAGGACAGATGTCTTCTTCTTCTTCGCGGTCACCAGCTGTAAACTCCAGTGGAAAGTTCTGCCACCTCAAGACTTTAGTCTTGTTCCAGAAGCTGAGTGTTGCAGATCTGGCTTATTTGTACTGGTTCCTTGCCTCTCAGGCAAATGCACGTCAACTTCAAAGGAGACAGATGATGTAATCAACATCATAGGAGCCACCTTCACTTCTCTAGAAAATTTCATGGCACCTCAAAGGATGATTTTCCTGAAAGTCCTGGACATTTTTATGTTTAAAATATGCATAAATAAGGATTCAAGCCCAAGTCTTTCAGGACTCGAGGCAGCATCTGGTCACTATGCTATAGCAGCTCCAATATGTGTTATTAGTATTCAAGAATCAAGTTTTAAAATTCTGTTCATGTGTTTATTCTACTGAAGACAAAAGCAAAAATGTGACCAAGTTCAACCAGCCTCTTAGGAGCATATGGTTATAATTATGGTCTGGTTTTATTTTCGCCTATTATCATATCTTCTTCTTCTTCTTAGCACTCATGGCTATTAACTCCAGTGGGAAGTTATGGTTGTTTGTCCACTCCTGGACTCTGGTCTTGATCCAGAACTTTGCATGCACATTCATTTTACAGACTGTACTTGTGTGTATGCAGACTGTTGGCTCCATGCCCCTCAAGCAGATGCACTCCAACTTTAAAGGAAACAAACCTAATTGGTCGCCTTTGACAATATGCTTGGGGGGGGGGGGGGGGGGAAGGAGCAGTGCTTCTTTGTTTTCTTTGGAGTCATGGAAAACATACTGGGAGCTTAATATTACTATGCTCCTATAGCTGAATGTCTAGGTCCCAGTTGTCCATTTGTTAATTTATTGTCTGTCTGGTGGTCAGACTTGTGTGTGCCAAAGTATGAAAGTAAAGTTGTCCCAGGTAAGTGAACTGTTGTCTGTTCTTTGAAGGCCTGCTCCCCTGTCAAAATCTGTATCTGTCTTGTCCATCTTCTCCTAACAGGAGTCCTGAGAAGATCTTGTCCTATCTAGGACATACCCAGTCCCACATGTTCATATATAGGTCCTAACAAATATTTGTGATGATAGCGGAGCTTTACAGGCAAGAACCTAAGCTATCACAGCATCATCACTGTTAATTGGATTTCAAAAGGTCAAAATGCAAATGAAACAAACTTAACTTTAAAAAAAAAATATTACTTATAATGCTTCCTATTTACTCACTCACTCCAACTCGTACACAACACATAAAGAAGGAGCTATTATGTAGCTATTTTATCAAGACATCAAGACTAAAAAAAAATGAACTCCAGCATTTTGTTGTTGTCTGGTAAAGTTGCAAAGGCAAAGCACAGGCAAAGAAAAACTGAATCAAGCTTTTAAAAAAAAGCGGATACCCAGGGACTAATTTCAGGCGTTCTTTATCCGACGTTCATCAGCAAGTGTTATTCAATTCTGTAGGTTTATATATGCCCTGCTCAAACAAAATGAAGTGCTGAACGAAATTGGTGCTTTTTTTCCTGGGGAAAAGATTTTCTCAAACACCTGAATAGATCAGACCAAGTCAGTTTTTGGGTTACGCACTGGACACTGCAGACTCAACAAACACTCATACAAATTAAGTATGAGCCAAACAAATCTCTGTCAGTGTCTTAATGGTATGCATTATCAACATCTTTTTATTTTATTTTTAATTTTGCATTATTGTTTTTTTTTTTTTCAGCATTGCTGTAATAGACATTGTGTAGTGAGTACCAGCACTGTTTTAGATACTATGATACCAGCGGCATTTTCTAGCGGAAAAAGCCATAAATAATCTTATTTAAGAGGTGGAAGTTCCGCAGAAAAACATCTCACCTTTTCTCCTGTCATGGCAAAAGGTGCATTAAACCATTGTTCAAATGTAGCACAAGCCTTGAAGATTGATGGCAGCAGAAAGTTTAGCAAGGCCCACAGTTCAGGAAGCTTGTTCTGAAAACAAAAACAAAAAATCATTGTCAGTGTTAATTTCAGTCAGACAAAGAACTGTTCGCAGATGAAAAGTTTAATAATGTATTTTTTAAATATTAATGTTAAATTACACAAAACTTGATGCATACAGTGTAAACACACTTGATGCATCATTAACAGCGGCTATTTAACTGGCAGCCGGCACAAACCTAAGATGTGGCCCGCGGATAACCACCAGATGTAATGAACCAATGATCTTTCTATGCTGAGGATTGGGCTGCTGGCTCTTGGTGGTCCACATTTTATCTTTTAAGTAATCTTAGCTGAAAAGCTCTACTTTACAGTGTAACGTCAGTAATGCACTGGGACAGCTGTCTTTATCTCTATGGCACCCATTGTATACTCTTTCTTTCTCTCTCTCTCTCTCTCCCTTTTAAACAACAAACCTGGATAACATTCTGCCAATAGTACCGTAAAAGGAACACATTTCAGCGATTTTCCCACACACAAACAGATAACTGTTGTTACTAACCTTTTTAATATCAATTTTAATGTACACAGAAAATCATTGCATAAGGACAAAATATAAAATAAATTTTGCTTTCTCAGCTAGTCATAATTAGTAAATTACTGCTTTTATTTTTCTTCCATCTTCACAGCTTTAAAGCAGTTAACCAACTAAGTATTCACTTCAGTGCAATATGGTACTTGTGGTCCCAAAGCAGGCACGTTCACTGGAATGTGAAGTATTTTAGATCACATTCCTGATCACAACATGAGGTGGGATGGCCAGTTCTTTTCTTTATCACATTTCCTTCTCATAGAATTGTGAAATTATCCAGTTTCTAAGTTTTATGAGGTTGGTAGGACTTTCATATCAGCCAAACAAACAAAAAACCCCACCATTTCTAAGGATTCTTCATCGTCATCTGTGCTCGGTCTTATAAAGCACATTGTCTTGCGGTTTACAGTCTGGCTGTGATATCTATGTCTTTTGGCCCCAATATGTCAGATTTCAGCAAATGTTTAATCAGTCACAAAGGTCCCTGTGTCAAAGTGGTCAAGCCACTGGCCTTACAATCTGAAGGTTGTGGGTTCGTTTACAGTTGTGTCATTCAGTTAACGAGTGTAATTTTTACAGACCCCTAGGGGAAGAGACCAAGCCATTTGGGTTAAAACCTGGTGCAGTGAAGTCTTCTTCTTCTTCTTCACTTCCTCTGTTACCGCTGTGGGTGTGGAGGAAGATATAAGGTTCTGTTTCTAGCTCTTCTGGCTGCCTCGACCATAGGCACATCATGCTGTTGTAGAGTTTCTCTGATGTTATCTTTCCATCTTGTTCTTGGTCTACCTCGTGCTCTACATCTTTCTTCTCTTTCCATGTATGCTTTGTATGGTATGGTGTCAAGGCATTCTCACTAAGTGGGCAAACCATTTCACCTGCAGTGAAGTCGATATTCTCAAATTTAACTTTGATCTTAATTATTGACCTTTAACAACACGCTTGCTAAAGAGCCATGAGTCAATTTTCTCCCTTTTAAAAATGTTCCCTGGAACCCACAGGGGATTCTAAGGGCTAAACCTGGACAACTCTCTGCAGCTAAACACACTTAACCACTATATCATTAAGACAACACATGTATTTATTTATGTGAACTCTCTGTACGGCTTTAATATTCTGCGCTACACAAACTAGTCAATCTAACCATATGCGCGCACACATACAGGATCTCGACTTACGAGTGAGTTCCGTTCTGTCAAACTGGTCTAAGTAGAATTTACATTGAACAACATTTTTTATTCAAACAGTGGTTCCAGACAGTGTGCCATAGGTAGAAGGTTCAAATAGACTCTGAGGTCTAAACCCTGCTGTGCTCTAGCAGCAGTTAAGGGAATGTTTTGATCCTGCCAATGTAGTTATCTTTGAAATTTTTGTCTGAGGTCATAAGGTCATAAGTCACACAGGTTGTAAAAGTCAAGAAGGTGAATATAGCAAACCTGCAATGGTGTTCCAGTGAGAAGCAGTCTATTCGGAGCATTATAATAGGTGTTCAGGATAACTGTCAGCTTGCAATGGTGATTCTTCATGCGGTGACCTTCATCAATAATCATGTATTTCCAGCGTATCTGTATAAAAATATACATACATTATGTTCACATCCGTTAAACAATGCATTAAAGGTAATAAATTGCAAATTTGATTACCAGTGGTAATTATGGTATGTGTTAATGGTATAACTAACTAACAAACAAACAAAAATAATCTGTTAACAGTCTTAGGTACGCAACTGTCTGCCTAACAACATGGGAGGTGTTCAATCCTTAGTTAAGGTGATGATTTAAAAGAGAAAGAAACAAATCCAAGACATGCATCTGTTATAAACAATATGCTCACTTGTCAGCTTCAGTGTTTTTTTCTCTTTATCCCCCAATGGCGCATAGGCCCTCAACCAACTCATGCCAAGTTGTCCTATCCTTTGCTACGGCATGCAGCCTAACCCATGTCCTCATATCTTTTTAACTTCACTCTCTGGCTCCCTTCTCTCTCTCTCTTTTTTTTAGTCTGCATTAATTTCTAGGATGTTTGGTTTCAGTGTAAATATTTTTCTCAAATTGACTCAACATATGTCCTCTTCAACGACACTATCTTGTTCTCACCTCTCGATTCACTGGAATTTATTGAGTTCTCTCCCAAGGATCCACATGAGTGATTCTATCATGCCATTTATAATTTTGCACAGGGACCAGTTCATGGATGTTTGTAGTTTATTAGTAATTGTCTGAGCTGTTCTTCCCAGTGTAGCTTCACATTCATTGACTCCAGACATCAGACCAAAAGCTGTCACCACTATTTCTACTTTATGTATTTTACTTTTGAAGTACCAGAAATTATACCCTTTATATGCACAACCCCATGGTTTATTTTGTGAACAGTTACCTAAAATAATGATACAAATTTTAGAAAACAAAAGTAAAAGGTTATCTTACAGTACTGCTGCAGGGGTATCAGGTGCTGAGCCTTCGCATATACTAAGTCAATATGAATTTAAGTATCTAGATCTTTTCTCCGCCATCTTTCCTTCCTTCAGAAGTCCAGTTTCATTAGGCACTATTATCTCCGGTGTCATACTGGCTAAAATAAATGATCATCCTGCAACTATTCAGTCCCAAACACCCACCAACTATAGCCATTAGTGAGCCACTGAGTTTGGGTTCCAGGGCCCCATGTTAGAGGGAGACCCACTGCTCTCCCCCCCCCCCCCCCCCCCCCATCCCCACCAAGCATGTCATATAAGTCGACTTATTAGGGGTAATTCCTTTAAAGTGGGGGTGCATCTGCCCAAGGGGCAAGGAACCAATATACTGAATACAAATAAGTCAGATCTGTAAAATGAATGTGCACGCAAATCTCAAGTTCTGGAACAAGACCAAAGTCCAAAAGTGAACTAACAACCAAACTTTCCAGCGGAGTTTACAACCTGTGAGTGCTGAGAACAAGAATAAGAAGACAACTAAAACTTTCCAGCGGAGTTTACAACCTGTGAGTGCTGAGAACAAGAATAAGAAGACAAGTAAAACTTCTGTAACTTTGTGACCTTGTGGCTTAACCACTTTCTTCCTGCTCTGAAAGTCATGGGTTCATTTCATGCGTGCACTTTCTATCGTGATCCTGGGAGATCAGTGTTGTAGCTATGGTGTTTGCTCTTTGCATGACACACAACAGGTGGCTTGCCATTCTGCGCAGAGAAACCAAGCCAGATGGGACAACATCCAGTACAAGGAAGTCGATCATCTTAAATTTAAACTTTTTAACCTTGAAACTCCTAAACTTGTAGTCTAAACTTACATGCAGATAACAGAAATTGAACAAGATAATACCTTGGAAAGTGTAGCCTTATCCTTAATGATGTACTCATAAGTAGTGAGCAGAACATTGAACTTGTTAGCTTTCAGCTGTGGAGTCAGAGCACGCCGCACATTTGGAGACCCCTTGTATGGAATTTTAATGACAGATGGGGCCCACTTGTCAAACTCCAGCATCCAATTGGAAAGTGTCCTAAATGTAGAGTTACAAAAAGCAGCAAAAAAAATAAGTAATAATAAATAACATATTTAAAATTGTGTAGTGTAGTGTCATTAAACCCATACCACTCTCCCAACAGGTGACCTTAATGCAGTGTCATTAAACCCATACAACTCTCCCAATAGATAACTTTAATGCAGTGTCATTAAACCCATACAACTCTCCCAATAGATAACTTTAATGCAGTGTCATTAAACCCATACAACTCTCCCAACAGATAACCTTAATGTAAATTAAAAAAAAAATTAAGATCCCTTTTCCACACCTTTAGGCGTATATGGCATATAAGGCTAGACCTATATTTTTATAGACCTACTGGCACAAGATGGGTGATGTATGTGGTCAGCATCATGCCGGCTGCCTTTACTTCCCAGGACTGCACCCGGTACCCACTCAAGGCTGGGTCAACCTGGGAGTCAACGTCATTTTTTTTTTAAAGTCCGGCTCCACCAGGGAGCAAACCCACGACCTTCCAATCCGCACGTGAGCATGATTTTAAAATGTAAGGGTAATTAAACCCATACCACTCTTCCAACAGATGACCGTAATGTACTGTCATTAGGCCTAAACCACACCTTCAACAGGCAAACCTAATGTCATGTCATTAAGCTCTTTCAAAACTCCCAACAGGTGACTTTAACATAATATCATAAACCATACAACCCTCTCAGCAGGTTATTTTGGAAGAAAATGTAATGTAGCATCATTGAACTCATACATTTCCACAAGATGACTTCCACAACAAGACCAGCACAACATGTGGTTGCCAGACATTACTTACGACAGAGGGACAATAATAAGGTAGGGTCCATTGACATGCTTGGCTTCCATGAGATAAGTGATTAGACCAATAGTCTGGATAGTTTTCCCCAGACCCATCTCATCAGCCAAAATGCCGTTCAGATTGTTGTTGTACAGAGATACCAGCCACTCCAGACCTTTGAGCTGGGAAACAAAAGCAACGAATGCATGTGAGTAGTACTTATCAATCGCTACAGAAAAATATGCAGAAAGCTTCCTACTTCCTATCAATGTGAATTCTAGGTAATTATCATTGCCCCCCCCCCCTCTTTGTTTAAAGTATCCAGAAACCATGAGTTGTTAATGTTAAGTTAACCCTTTGCCTTGGTACTGTGGCTATCGCAACCCTTCGGCCTTGATTCCATGTTAGATACCGTAAATCTGGCCAAATTTGTGGTTTTTCTGCCTACCCCAGGGGCGTGAACCCTGACCACAAGTTCTTCACCTGGTGGCCGCAAAGTCAGGTTTAACCTGTTCAGGACCTAACAGAAACATTTTCAGAATACAGTGGATTTGAAAAGAAGAAACAGGTCAACATCCTGCATGACCTGAACATCAGGGGAGGGGGGAGACCTACTGTGTTCCTAACAAACATGTTGAACAAGGTGACTAAACAGGGGGTTTTGTTTGAAGTCAGTGTATCTGCCTGAGAGGCCAGGAACCAACAGATGCATACAAATAAGCGAGATCTGTAAAATGGATGTGCATGAAAACTCAAGCTCTGAAACGAGACCAAAGTCCAGAAATGGACGAACAATCAGAAGTCCTTTCTGTCGGAGTTTACAACCAGTGAACGCTAGGAAGAAGAATTCTCTGTCAACCTCTGCCTCATCTATCACCAACCTCGCCAATTATTTTATCCTTATAAACCTCTCTTCTTATATATAAGAAAATGACCCCTTTATAACAGTCCCCTTTTACATATGTTTTCAATACCTCATCTATGCAATACAATTAATCTTGCAGACATTTACCTCAGAAATTACATCTCTACTGTTTCTAAATTTTTTCCTAATTTGTTTACTCACACAACAAATCAGATTCAATAGAATATTTTAGTTTCCTCTTCCTGAAAGTCATTGAAAATGTTTACACCCATATATGAGGGACACAATTCAAGTCCCAAAATACAAACATAATGTTAAATGTTAACAGGATTCGCTTATCGAGCAAAGACTACCAATACTTCTGTTCTATAGGCTGGTCCTTTCCCTAACTGAATATGCTCTGGCCATCCTCACTGTCAGTTCTACACATATTCAACGACTTGAAAAGGTGCAAAATGAAGCCTTGCGCATTAATTTGTGATGTACAAAAGACATTTCCTGTGTAGCAATGAGATATCTACTTGACTTTCTGACCATGAGCCAAAGGATCAAGATTTGGAGGGCTGGGGCATACCTTAAAATATGTGCTGACAAGAAACACCCACTGCTTCAAGCGCTTTTCAGTGAAAAGGGTGACAGACTGAAGAGGGAAAAATATTGGTTAGGTCGGGCAGGTGATGTTATCAAGCAAATATGCAGCCTAAACAACATCACCCCTAGTGCAGAGTGGATACCCGTGCCTGATGTGTTTATTCGTGCATTTCCCTGTGTTGCCACACTCGACAGCCTATCGAGGGAGCAGAATCCTGTTGCTGTCAATGCAGAGGTCAACGCTCTCATCAGTGAAAGTTCAGATGAGGCAGATGTATTGATCTACACAGACGGATCCGTTATACGCCAACAAAGAAGGGTATGGGCATTCACAGCACACTCAGCGGGCAGAACATATAAAAAAGCCAACGGCCCCTTTTCCATGAAAAACAGAAAAACATGACGATGGAGGTGATGGCAGTAGCAAGCGTTCACATGGCTCGAAACACAAAACTACATCCGCTCATGTTTACTTAGTGATTCAATTAGTATGATCTGGAAGGTTCAGTGCGAAGGGAATGGCTTGAATCATTACAGAAATCCACTGTGCGTGGAGTCACCTTTATTTCTGTTCTGGGAAATGCAGGCATCCATGAAAATAAGAGATGATAGGTTGGCTAGATCCGCTATAACTACCGACGGTCAACTTATGGATCAAGCTGATATTATTAAAGCCACTCAAAAAATGAGACGGGTTGAGGACTTTAAGGACAGTGAATCCACATCACTCGCCAAAATGATAAACTTGGGAGTTAAGATCAACAAAAAATGAGACGCACACCGGGCACATCAGAGGACTTGTTAATAAACACAGAACTGGTACTATTAGCCAGCGGACGCTGGGGTTCATTCTGAGGGGAGGATCTGAGCACCTATGGACATGTTTGGAGTGCAATGATGATAAATAACTAACTAAGGATTCGCTAGCTTGAGCAAACCCTCTATGCCACTAAAGAGAGCAAAAGAACAGAATTCTCTGTTCAAAGTTTTACATGTAAGTAAAACATGTTTAAAATGTATAAGTGACCTGTATAAACTGAGATCTCAATAAAGGACTGGGGGTAATTCCTAGGTTCTTGTTTCGAGTTTTCATAGTTTCCAAGGTGATAGGGTTAATGAAAGTTTAAGACAATTTCTGCAAACACCTGAAGAAAGAAGCCACTACCTGGTACTCCTTCAGCCTTCCATTGACCAAGATAGAAGCCTGGTCATTAATTTTCTCTTTGATCGTGTGGGCAAGTGTGTAGTAGTTTTGTTCTCCGTCATCATCTACATGAGTTGCACTGGTGGAAACAAAAGAGAAGAAATAATCCATTTTTATATATATATATTAAATATATATATAAAACAACACATATCTGAAAAGTAGAAAGAGATGTCTTCGCATTGGCACATGAAATGTTAGAACGTTATATCAAGTTGGAAAATTTGACTGTTTAATTTCTGAGGCAAAGAATATGAATTTAGATATTTTGGGAGTATCAGAAACAAGATGGACAGAAGATAGCTGCCTAAAGAGAGATGATTACATAATTATTATTCAGGAGAACATCATGAACGTGAAGTAGGATTCTTGATAAAAAGAAATTTAGAGAAGTTTATTAGCGGGTTCTGGGCTCACAATGACAGAATTATATTGATCAAGATCAAGTCCTTTGATATTGCAATAATACAGACATATGCACCAACAACTGACTACAGTGATGAACAGCTTGAAGAATATTATGAAGAACTACAACAAACACTGAAAGTTGTAAAATCATCAGATGTCTTAATAGTTATGGGAGACCCGAATGCAAAAGTGGGGAAAAAGAAGCACAAACATATTGTAGGGCAATTTGGCATGGGATCAAGGAGTGACAGAGGATACAGATTGATACAGTTTTGCCAAGAGAACCAACTCATTATCTGTAACACATTTTTTCAACATCCACCTAGAAAACCGTTTACGTGGAAGAGTTCAGGAGATATAAATAGAAACCAAATTGACTATGTAATGATTAGAGACAAAAACAACATAAAGAACGCCAAAACATACCCAGGTGCGGATATAAATTCAGATCACAATCCTGTGGTTATAAAAATACAAATTAAACTTAAAAACGCAGGAATAAAAACGCAAAGGTCACCCCACATAGACATATCCTATCAGCTTTGAAACAGCCAGAAATAAGCCAGCAGTACCTAGTGGAGGTTAAAAATAAATATGACAGATTAATAGTTGAAAGCATGGAACAATATCGAGGGGAGAAACCAGAGGAGAAAATTAATACAAAATGGGAATGTTTCAAAACTAGTATAGAAACAGCTAATGCCATCTTACCAGTGAAAGAAAACAAGAAAAATCAAGTATGGATGACTGAGGAAATTATTAACAAAATGACACAAAGGAAGAAAGCAAAAAACACTCCAGAATATTCATTAATAGACAAAGAAATACGAAATATGTGTAGAACTGCTAAGGAAACATGGATTCAGTTAAAATGCAAAGAAATAGAGGATCTTGAAATAAAACACAGAACCAAGGAAATACATGCAAATATAGGAAAACTTACAAACAAGGAAAAACATTTAACAGGAAATGGTTGTATTAGGGGGAAGGATGGAACAATTATTGTTGATAAGAAAGATATAATAAAAAGATGGACTGAATACACAGAAGACCTGTTTTGGGACAACAGAGGTGACAAACCGCCAATCCATGATATTCAAGAGAGACCAAACACATTAAAGTCTGAAGTAGAGAAAGCCATTAAACAGATGAAGCAGGGAAAAGCTGCAGGTCCAGACAACATAACTGCAGAAATGTTAAAATCATTATCTACTTTTGGAATTGATACTATCGCAGAAATATGCAATGACATTTATAACTATGGGTACATTCCCAGGGACATGAAAACTTCTGTTTTTATCACACTACCCAAGAAATCAAAACTGTTGATTGTGAAGATTATAGAACTATTAGCCTAATGAGTCACGTAACTAAGTTACTCTTGAAGATAATACAAGCAAGAATTCAAGATAAAATAGAGAAAGAAGTTTCTGAAGAGCAATTTGGATTTCGTAAAAACAGTGGTACTCGAGAGGCCATAATTTGTCTAAAGATGCTGACTGAAAAATATATAGAAGTTCAGAAAAATATTTATGCATGTTTTATAGATTACAAAAAAGCTTTCGACAGAGTGCAACATGAACAACTAATTGCAGCTCTTCAAAACATAGGACTAGATGAAAAGGATATCAGACTTTATTAGAAACTTATACTGGGAGCAAGAAGCAACAGTAAGATATGACAACATCTGCTTACCCCAGATAGAGATCAAGAGAGGAGTAAGACAAGGATGTGTGCTGTCGCCTAGGCTTTTCAACTTATGTACAGAAACCATTTTCAAATAAATTGTAGAATTACCAGGACTGCACATCAATGGTAGAATAATAAACAATCTGAGATATGCTGACGACACAGTGTTGCTAGCGAAAAGTGAGCATGAGTTGCAAGACCTAGTGGAGCAATTAAACAGAAGGAGTGCAGAATTTGGATTAGATATAAATTTGAAAAAGACAAAAACCATGATATTTAGCAAAGAAAATTATAAGCTAACAATGAATATCACAGTGAACGGGGTGAAATTGGAACAAGTTAAAAAATTTCCTTTATCTTGAACAAGTAATAACATGTGACGGCAGAAGTGAAACAGAAGTCAAGAAAAGAATAGGGATGGCCAAAAACATTTTCAACAACATGCAAAAGTTACTGACATCAAGAGAAATAAGCGATACATTAAAAATGAGTATTGTCAAATGTTATGTATTCTCAACCTTACTGTATGGCACAGAGACATGGACAATGAACAAACAACTGGAAAATCGTATCAATTCTTTGGAGATGTGGATATACAGAAGATTAGGTCGTATTTCATGGAAACAAAAGCTATCAAATACAGAGGTACTGAGGAAATTGGGAATGAAAAGAGAGTTGCTAGGTGAAATAAAAAAGAGACAAGTGAAATATTTTGGCCACATTAAAAGACATAACAGTATTGTAAAGATCATCCTAGAAGGAAAGGTTCAAAGTAGGCGAGCAAAAGGCAGACAGCGTTACAAGTGGGAGGATAACATCAAGAGATGGACGAACAGCAGTATGAGTGAGTGTACATCAAGGGCAAGAGACAGTGCTTGTTGGAGATCCATTGCAGCCAACCTTCATTGTGGAGACGGCACCTGATTGATTGGTATATAAAAAACCTAGGTAATTACATTTCTACCTAATCCAGTTAATACAGCTTCTAATTATAAAATCTAGTTACAACTTCTAGGTATATTATCCAATTAATAAAATCTGGCACCTTGTGATAATTTACCAACGTGGGTTCATATAAAAATATCTGATAGACAAGCAAGAGGGTGACAAGGAAGAATGTCTTTTATGCTAAGTTACAGAATTACCAGAGAAGGTGACAATTTTCTTTCCTTCCTCGCCACTTATCATTCCAATAAAACCCCTGGCTACAAATGTTTTCTGGGGGGCAATCCTAGTATACTGCATGTGGGAAAGAGATATAGAGACAGGTGGTGAAGTGGGTAGAAGAAGCAGTGAGGAGACAGAGGGAGAGACAAATAGAGAGATGGCTAAGAAGAGGTGGAGGGAGAATCCAGATAAGTGAGAGACAAATAGAGAGATAGTGGTGTTGGGATGGCTAAGAAGAGGTGGGGGAAGAATCCAGAGACAGTGAGAGACTCAAGCAACTATTACTAAATGAACATTAATTAGTATGTTGGTTCGCCAGCACACCAACTACTTCTGTACCTCATACCTGTAACAATAAATGAAAAGACAACTTGTGATCCTACTAGAAAAAGCCAAAATAATGGGTAATTCCATTACATGAATGTTTCCCATAGTAAAGTGGTTAAGTTAATGCTTCATGCACTGAAGATTATGGGTTCCATTTAGGACTTCACTCTTGGTCCATGAATGCAGGTGTTTCAGAAATTCCCAGGGATCGCTGCTGGAGCTATGGATTAGCATGCTATGTACAAAACTATTGTGGATAACTAGCTGCTCTTCAGACAGACAGTTGGCTACATGGGATAAAACAAGGCGCAAAAAAATCTGATAATCTAACTTCAAAAAAGAGGCGGAGTGAAACATGGGAGTCAAATTCAATTTAAGACAGGGGAGGGAAACCTATAGGGGGGGGGGGGGGGGGGGGGGCTAGACGACAAAATTTGGAATTGCAAATCTGGTAGTCTGTCATGCAGAAAAATTATGATGGAAACATAAAACTAAAATTTCCTCGTAATACAACAGTTTTCCGAGATAATGTAAGATTATAATCCCTTGCCACGCCTCTGGCTAGAAACCCTGACACGTTTACTTATCATCCATCAGACCGCGACACCTGGCAGCACAGGGCGGATGCTGACCTTACATCCTCCCCCATTCAAAGAAGAAATACACAACAATGTAATGCAAAGGAAGCAATTGTAAGCAATATAAGAAGACAACAGACAACATGTTTACCACCAATCTCAGTGACTGCTGGACTACAGTCAAACTTACTTTTCTTCTTGAGTTTCCATCTCTGGCTCAGGTTCTTCTTCCTGCAATGGAAATATATTTATATCATTCCATATCTCTCAGGCCTCAGGGAATTAGTCTATTTACTATATTCAAAGATTTACAACCATACGTTAAAAGTTTAGAAAATAAAAAAAATTTGAAATAAAATAGAAAAACCTTGTCTTACATTATTCAACAAATAGAATCTTAAAGATGACCCAAAGTGTTTTGCCATGGTCAAGGGAAGCTGTACATGACTACAAAGTAATAGATGTCCCTACATGGCAGTGATATGTTTGCAGCCATGTTGTTCAACACACGGTGCCATTATCAGCAACTTTAATGTGTCAGCATTAACAAGATGAGGACCTGTGCATAATACAGATGAGGCATATCATAAGGATGATGTGTATCACATGGATGGGGTGTATCAAACAGATGAGGCATACTACAAGGATGAGGATTCGTGTATCACAAGGATGAGGTCACGTGTATCACAAGGATGAGGTCACGTGTATCACAAGAATGAGGAGCCATGTACGACAAGGATGAGGACCAATGTATGACAAGAATGAGACCCCATGTCTCACAAGGATGAGGACCAATGTATGACAAGAATGAGGTCCCATGTATAACAAGGATAAAGACCCAGGCAGAAGGATGAGGACCTGTTACCACAAAAGGATGAGGTGTATCGCAAAGATGAGGATCCATGTATCACAAGGATGAGGACCCACATATCACAAGGATAAGGACCCACATATCACAAAGATAAGGACCCACACATCACAAGGATGAAGACCTGAGTATCCTCTGGCCACATACTTCTGATATGAACTCAACTGACAACTCACTTTTGTTCTTTAAATTTTTACATTTTAAATGTGCTATATGTTGAAATAGATCACAGTGTCAGAATTGACATCGGGCATGTTTCACTTACTTTATTAACTGATAAAAGAAAAATAAACTATTTTATGTGGTATTAAATACGATCAGAGAGTAAATATGTTTACTCATTCTCCAGTATCAATTGTATAATTTATCACAAGAAAAAGGCTTCCGAAACAATGAGTAAATAGAGGTAAGGAAGCAAAAGCGATTTGTGTAAAATGAAAATCCTCTTTGAAGTGAAGAACCCCTTTTAGTGCTTGTAGTGCACTAAGCATACAGTGCTGGCCCATTATATAGCTGACTTTACTTCCCAAAATATTTCCTCATACCCATTTGAGGCCAGATGGACCTAAGAGCCTGGGTCAATGACAGATGCAGACTCAATCGTGCTAGTCAGCCTCCACCCCATCTTTAAAGTGTAACTTAGTCAAAATTTGGTATCTAGCTTTGTGTGCAAATTGATAATTGTTGCGAATTAATAAGAATATCAATACCTCTTCACAGCTTTCTTCGTCTTCTTCCTCCTCCTCATCTTCCTCCTCTTTGGGCGCCACCTGGAAGCTGAAAGAGGACAAATATGTAAGCAAGAATAAATATTGGATTTAAAGCTAGGAGGAACACATAATAAATTTTTATAAAAACATCAGGAGCAAATATGCCTATGCACACACATCTTACAAATCTGTAACAAACAAATAACACCCCCCCCCCCCCCCCTCCTTTCCCCCCAAAAAACGCACACAAATGAGTTTGTACTCAAGGGAAATCTACTAGAATTAGACTAGTGAAGAAAGCAGGAAAGAAAGTACAAAAATCAATTCCATGGCCTGATAAACTGTCATTATATATAAGTATGGGAATCAACATGCCATACCATGTTACAATTTACTTTACAAGGATGTCTCATGTAATTACAACTTTTACCAGGGTTCCAGAACCAGACCTCTTCAAAGAGCAAATGCAGAAGAAAAATCATGTTAATTAACAACAATTATTTGTTACAGATACTTCAAGGTACAGTGATGACACAAATATGGAAAACTGCAGTCAAGCTGATAGCTTCTTCATCTTCATTGGGTGTAAACCCCAGCGAAATATTCTGGCTGTTCATCCAAACCTGGACTTTGGTCATGATCGAAAACCTGAATTTTGCATGCAAATCCATTTTACTGTCTGGTTTATTTGTTGGCATACTAGTGGTTCATTGCCTCTCTGGCAGATGCACTCCTACTTTGAAGGAATACCTCTAATCAGTCACCTCCTACTATTCATACATTTTTGCTTCTTGCCTACTGATAAAGACCGGCCAAAACTTTCAGTTTTATTTATGTGTGGGTCTTTTCCATTCCTTTTGTTGAGCTATCAAATTTATATTCCCTTTGTTGAGGTATCTAGCCAGTTTGTTTTGTACCTACTACTGGTATAAATAGTAAATCAAACACAAACAACTAAATATTAATGCTGCCATTCATCTATATTGAGAAAAGTTAGTTGTGTATACTTTACAGGGTGTTGCAGAACAAACCTAGCATTTTTGTGTGTGAGGGGAGGGGGTTTTGTGATTTTACTGTCGTGATTTTTTGTTCAGTTATATGCCACTGCATTTTAACAGTCGGCTCTCGATACCACTGTCAAACCAACACACGGCAGACTGCTGCCAAATCGCCAGCAGCTGTGATCTACACCAGTACCTTGGAATTACGAAGCATTCACAACATCTAAACCACACGTGCTGGTTATCTGATACCCTGTCTACAAAAACCGTCCAAAATATAAACTGTCTGTTATAAAACCACAATGATGACAGTTGTATCTGCCTACTTACTTGGGGTTCATTTCCAACCAAGCCTCCAACTGACTTGCCAACGGAGCCTGGTCTCCAGAGAGTACTGTGCCAGTTTCGGGATCCATCACTTTCACCCGCTTATCTCCCTGGCTGGATTCATCGTCAGCATTCTAATGAAAGTTAAAAAATAAGCACATTTAAAACTGTACAATCACCTGCAAGTAGAACCAACATGTACAAGCAAGCATATTAGCATGGTCTAACCTTCAGCAATATTTGTCTCTCAAATTATCAGCCTTGTAGGACTATGTTATATCTGCTGACAGTAATCATACTGGAGTATCAGTGTCGAACATCAGATTCAACTCCCCCGGTTGCCAGGAAGCCGCCAACCTGGCACTTCCAGTACGGTCCAATTCCCTCAGTTAGTTCCTTAACAGTCATTTTTATAGCAATGTGTTTATGAGACACCTAGAAAATTCCACTGGCTGTGTTTGTGCCTGCGCAGTGTTTAGCAGGTCTAAAAATAAATATATTTACAAAAAGTGTCAGCTGGAGGAGGGGGGGGGGGGGGTTGCTTGTGAACTATACGGCAAGTCATTGCATGAGACATATGGTACATATCTGTAGGCCCCTGGGAAATGTATTCCATTTTATGCTTTTTTTTTGTTTGTGTTTACTGATTACTTCCTTTATATAACATATATTTCAAACATTTTTTAATATAAATTAATATTAATTTTGTAAACACTACTAGTGTCTCATGTTAAATGGTGGCTTATTTTTTTTTTAAAGATATTTTTCGGGAATTCGTGTAGAATCATGTCTAAAAAGGCTACTGGTAAAGGGTTTGCTGAAATCAGCTGTGCTGGGCCAATGGGCATACAGCTAACCATTTATGGGTGAACTCAGAAGGAGAAGAAAAAAGACATCAAATGCATCATTTCATGGAGTGAACACTTTATCTATAACACTCTACATAAAATTATAAGCATAAAAATTGCACACATAGACAACGGCATAACCATCAACAAAGCACAGCACATGATAAATTGAATTTAAATTAACTGCAAAGGTATCATTATCTGAAAATACATGTGCATGCAAAAAAGTCAATTTAAAAAAAAGAAACACACTGCATAATAACAGGTTCAACAATGTAATGAAGTGCTAGTGCAAAAACTTCCAAAAATATATCAGGACAAAAGTATTGTCTAAAAAATGCTTACAAAATATGTACACTAAACACATTTTTTAAAATAATACAGTATAACATAATTTTAACAAATAACTTTGCAGAGCTTAATCTTATTGCCCCAAGAAGGCTCAATTTAGTTATTTTCAGCTGTAACACAGCCCCATAAATGATGATACATCGTCATTTCTGCACAGTCTTGTTTTCAAAATGCTTAGTTAAACGCCACTGGTTCTATGTGCACCTGCGTAGTGTTTAAGAGGCCCTGATGTCAATATATCAACTGAAAACAGCATTCAGAAGTGTTTGCTTGTGAATCCAAAAGCTTTTTTTAAAGCCAGGGTGGCTTTAAATTGTCCTGTAATCCTCATTGATAGAGGTCACATGGTTACATAGGAATCACCCAATACATATACATGTATTCCAGTTAATGCTTAACCCTGTTCAAGTTTATTAATTTTTCCATTTATACATCACATATTTTGAGAAAAAACCTAACAAAATTTTGACCCAAAAAAAGCAAAAATTTAGTAGTCTGTGTAAAATATCTATTGCTAAAAGGTGTTTTTGGAAATTCTCACAGGTCCATGATGCCTTGATTTCTTTTAATGCATTTGTGGCACAAAAAGGTAACATGGGTGTCATATTAAAACTTGCCTCTGTTTAGTTCTATTTATGGGGGGGGGGGGGGGGGGGGCAACACACTGCCCTAAGTAATTCTGTCACACAGCAAATGCTGCCACTGAAGCATTAGGTGTTGTACACATTCCAGGTGGGTAAACTCACCAAACTGCCCTTCCCATGTTATGAAGCTAGGTCAAAAAACAATTCTGCCACTACTGGGGTTCTGAACCGGCACCACTCATGGTTAACAAGCACACTAATCCTATGCTACTCCAGTTCCGGTGTGGCTGTGTAGAGCTGACTGAAGGATTTATATTTTGTATTCTGTCCCCTCTGCAAGTTCACAGTTTTTAATCAAAGTTAATCAGATTTCAAAGACTACTGGGTTTTTTTTCCCCACAATATGAAACAATGAAAATATTTAACTTGCCCAAAGGTAAAATTCTTAATTGTTGAAGAAGTACACTTTAAGAATACAGAAAGAAAAAACAAGCATGTGCTGAGCATTCGGGCAAAGAGGTCTAAATCATAGCTAACTACGATAACACACAAAAAAAGCCCTCCATTCAGATGCTAGAATTGCTAATATCATAAAAATTGTTTTCACATTTCCTAAATACACATAAAGAGGATCACTTTTATATTAAATCTTCTTCAATTTACAACAGCCAAACACAATCAGCGAATGAAATAATGTGACAAAAAAGTATCCAAAAAAAAAGAATATTAATGAACACTGTTGAAATAAAAAATACGTATCTGGAGAATCTTAAACTTCTTGAGGATTTTCCATTGTTAATTTGCAAAACTTGTGTTTTAACTTGACAGCTTAATTAAATTAATGCAGTACACATCTGTAGCAATTTACTCTGAACAATTTACCAGGCTCCACATGGTCTTTACCGAACAAAGTTCTTTATGAAAAGTTTCAGTTGGTGTGGAAATTTACAGGTGAAGCAATTTCAATATCAACAAAAAGTATTCATGGGTAAATGCAAGGCAGAACCCTAAATCAGGAGAAACATGAAACAAGAAACATAAACAGACATTAAAAAGTATATGTGTATATAAAACAGTAAGATGAACAACTTTCAGAGAGGCCAGGTGAGCTGGACTGGATTACATCTTATAACCAAAGGACAGAATGGAAGACTAAAGTGAGAGCTCTTTGCGACTTGCAACAGCAGGATGAAGTCTTGACATTTTTTTAC